GGAAAAATATGAACATAAGGAATAATCACAAATGTACTGAATGAAGAACAGCGGGGGGGGGGGGGGGGGGGGGGGGGGGGGAGAGAGAGAGAGTACCATCCCAGATGCACATAGTTGATAAAAGCAATGATAGTTCCTTTCAGGATCTGTTATCTGAACTACTCGGGACCGTTCCAGAAGGTAAGTTCTAATGGCAGCACCAGATATTCGACCATTTGCATCAAACTGGATCTCAACAAACTTCCCAAAACGACTGCCATGACATAGCAACAGAATCAGACAAGAAAAGACAATGTTAGGTAGAAGATTTAGAATTAAAGAATAATATAAAACCACATTGCACAAACCATAATAGAGAATGTGATTCATCCAACAATCTTAATAACATATTCTTCAGATGGCGAAACTATCCAGCATCTCTTCTTGCAATACACAGGTTACAGGGAAAGATATCAATTAAAATTTTGAAAAGCAAACTCTAACCAACCTTGAATTGTCATTTCTAACAGTCCTTGCATTACCAAATGCCTCCAGCAGTGGATTTGACTGGATAATTGAAAACTATGAATCAGCAATATCTTCATAGGAAAAATATGAACATAAGGAATATCCAAATGTACTGATGAGACACAAATTCTGCCAATTGTCTTGTCAAAATATTTACAAGGACACTAACATCAAGCAAGTCATCATAATACAGATATCCCTTCAATAACCAAATGTTTTAGGTGAACATATAAGAAGTATTTCTCTTGCAACAAGGACATTATTTTATTTTCAAAACAAAACTTAAGTTGAATAAATATGGCAACTACATTAATACATGGATATAAAAACATCCGGGCATCATTTAAAATTAGATCGGTCTATAGTAACTATCACTAGATACCAGCCTCAAACTGAAGCATACCTACCTCGTCTTAGAGAAGGGTCCTACCACAATTGAACAAAGCACAGGGAAAATGAGAAGTCCGAGTTATTACCTCAAGAACTTGTTGTTCAACCGTTCTGTCATCACCAGAGGCTCGACCACCAACAAAAGTGAGATATTGCATAATCAATTTTGTTGTCTCAGTTTTTCCAGCCCCGCTTTCTCCGCTGACCAATATAGATTGGCTTTTACCTTCACTCATCATCGCTCTAGTTTTAAACCCAGACATAAGCCAATTAAATAACTTTAAGTAGCAGCTATACATATCTCTCATCAACACAATTTTCATATACCGACAAAATTTCCATACAGAACCAATAATGTGATATACCTATAAGATGTATCTGCCACAGCAAAAACATGAGGGCTTAGCTCACCAAAGGGTGCTCCTTTATATTGCTCCATCATATGCACATTGTAAAGATGAGGAAGCTTGGTGAATGGATTTACAGCTATCAAAATGCTTCCCGTGTATGTCTGTCAGCAACAAAAATGTAAAAGAAAAGGCCACATGATGCCATAGCAAAATGTAAGAAAAATGCCATTGGAAAATCTAAGGAATATTTTTTAAGTTCCACATTCCATTATGGGTAGAATAATGGAATGACATGGACTCCAGACAAAGAGTTGTTTGATTAATTCACCAAGAAAATCATTCCAATCAGATTTGAGTTTTGCAGAGTCCACTGCAACCATTGCATGTCAATGCAAAAGTAATCAGTCAACACTCAAATTACAGCATAATTCCAACTCCCACAAATATACTTTACTTAGCATGTCGGATGCCAACTCGGAATTTGGACTTTAGACCTCCAATTCCAAAAATTTAAATCGGTTTTGGGGGAAAAAACAATTTGGAAAAAAAAAAAAAGAATGACATTAACTTCAAATAACTCACAAAAGCCGAGAAATAGCCTAATTGAAAGCCACGCGTCTCTATAAAATGGAGATCCTAATTTGGAATCCATACCTGATTATTAAATACAATTAGTATGGACAAATTTGCACAGAAAACTAATAACTAAGCTAAATTTTATCATCATTGATCAAAATTCATAAAATGAAACAAAAATGTACAGCGAGGGACACTTGTCAACTACACGAACTGGCAAGTGAACAAGTGTATGTATACGCACTTACATAAATATCATTTAGAGCGTATCTCCTCTCAAGATTATAGAGCACTCCGGGCTCGTGCAAGTAAGTCAACTTAGTCATATCGTCCACTCCTCCATGCTCTTCCTCATCATCATCCCTGAGAAACAGCTTCTCCGGAGAAGTCAAAACCTACATCCCCAATTGACCACGAAAAGAAGTCAAAAAAACCACTCAATATTCCTCAAGAAAATCACAAGGAACAAAGAGTTTCACCTTCTTGCCAGACGCAGTGAGAACTTGGACTTGCTTTCCGATAATATTGATTACTTCAGCTGCAACCCATGCCAAATTCTTATCTAAGGCCCATACCTTAGAACCCTTGCGGAGGTTCATTTTGAGCTCCTGTGAGCAGAAATCGAAAGTAGAGCTTAAAACCGTAGAGAGGCGAAATTATCGAAGAAGCCAATGCATGATAATACAGAAAAATTAAAGAAACCCTAGAAAAACCAGAGAAAGACAGGTGAGAGAGTTACGGGCATGGTTTTTGGGCGAAAATTTTAGGTTCCCGCCCTCAACAGGTGTAGCAGAGAGAGAGTCAAAAATGGCGAAATGTAAGGGTATTTTCGTATCGTAATCGACACGTCACCCTCAAGCAGTACAGTGGTGTCGCGGAGTCTATTTTTGATTACATCGGATTAATTTCACCGATGGTCATCAATTTTATACCGAGTCTCCTATTGACCACTCAAGTTTAATTTATTACTTAAATATCTTCAAAACATCTACATTTTTTGTTTTTTTTTTTTTTCTTCAACTTGAATTTACATAAAATATGGATTTTCAAATAATGTTTGAATATTATTTAATGAAGTTCCTCAAAGAAATATCATATCTTGAAAACTTATATTTTAATAATATTTTGCTTTTTGAGGGTTCCTTTTTCTTTTAGGAAAAGTGGTTGTATTATTAAAATAAATCATCAACTAAAACAATATAAAGAAATTTTGGATAATTCATAACCAATAGGACTAATATATAGAAGAAATTCTATTATTAAAAGGTGAGTTGCTCTACTTGCTTGTCATTTAACTAATAAAAATATGATAACGTATATAAATTAAATGAGATTAAAAATTGATAATTAGCTAAATAAAAGAAATAAAATATTATAAAAGGAAGAAAAAGAAAGATTTTATATTACTATAAATTTTAAAGAGAGTTAATTTTAAATGATTAATTCTAGTTAGAGAGTTGATTTTTTTTTTTTTTACATGATTAACCCTCGTTTAATTATCACATTTGTCAAGTTAGTTAGTTTAATTGGTTTAATAGGCAGGATTGGGAACTCACAACAGTGGGTAATATGAAATAAAAGTTAAAATTGAATGATCTTAATACAATAAATTTAAGTTGGAGGACTAATAACTAGGTAAGTGAAAAACTAATGACCATTGATGAAATTAAGCCGGCTCTATTTATTTTTTTGTTACTACTAGCGATGTAGTAGATTTTGTTACTTGCTACTGCATGTAGCTACGACAGCAACTTGTGCGTTTGCTAGGAAATTGCAGGTTGTGTCATGTGGGCAGGGCAGTGGCAGTGGGTTTGCGACTGGCCCAACTTACGCTGCTAGTTCAAATTTTTTTGAATATGCCTTTTTTGTGACCTTTTTAATCGTTCTACAGTTGTTGAGTTCAAATTTATTTTTCCATTTTTGGTTGTTTAATTTGAATTTCTTACTTTTTTGAACGTAGAAAATTTTGAATTTCCTACTTGAGTTGCTACTCCTTTTATTGATTTTACTTTAAATTTCAGGAAATTCCAAAAATAGAGTGGTTATATTCAAATTTCTGTTTATGTTTAATTGTTTTTAAAAAATTATTTGTTTATTATGAGTAAATTATTTAATTTTTGTTTAGGTTCACTTCTAAAAGGCAATTCAAAGTCTCTTTAAATTTTGAAAAAAAAAACAATTAATGAATTTATTAGCAAAGTATGTATTTATTATTAAACTACGATTTATTGTTAATTTTATGAAGTGGAATATATAACAATAATATCTCCCAAACATATACTAAAAAATCTCTTTCAGATTTCTGAATCTCAATCATTAAATGAAAATGAATCTGTTTCCTTCGAAAAAATTGAAAATAAACTTGTAGATAAAGCAACGTACGGTTGATATTAATTTAAATTACGATATCATCAACGGACGGCCCGAATTTAACGCGAGGTAATGTCAGGGATTATGTTTGAATAAATTGATGGGCCGATTGAGTTTTGCGGATGCAGCCCAAATCAAAAACAGTTCGCAAAGCAGGTTGCATTTGGCCGGATAAGAACTCGAGGAGAGACGAGATTCGTGTGCATGCATGTTCACTAACATCGTCAGTTGCGTCATTTTTTTAACTTTTCCTAGACGGGTCCACATAGTCATTGTAAAATCTAACAGCCTGCATTGTGCTATAGTCATTATAAAATGGCTGCCAAGTGGCAGCAATGTTATTGGTAAAAATGGATTTTATCCAATGCCCTTTGAACACATGTCCACTATGTTTTGCATGCAGCTTCTCAAAGTTATTTCAAACCTTCAACAAAATCTAGAGAAAAATAAATATACTGACACACGCGCACACACACACACACAATTATCTAAATTTTTTTAATATTATTAAAATACAATTAACCAAAAGAATCTTCTTGCAAGAAGTTAATAAAGCTAACTACCTGCATTGTGCTATAGTCATTGTAACATGGCTACCAAGTGGCAGCAATGCAACTGATAAAAAATAATTTTATCCAATGGTCTCTGAGCATGTGTCCATTCTGTTTAACACTCCAGCTTCTCAAAATAATTTCAAAACTTCAAGAAAATCTAGAGATAAATAAATATTGTGATTCTGATAATAATTGCTTTTCATTTTTCATCTATCACTCTAACAATATAAATTGATTCAGCTGCAATAAGCTTTTCTCCAAACATGAAAGGAAAACATGGGAAGAAAGAAGTTGAAGATCTCTAGATTGGAGAGTAACAAAGCTAGGCAAATAAAGTATTCCAAGAGAAAAGTTGGAGTTTTAAAGAAGGCAAAGGAACTTTCAACACTATGTGATATTGATCTTGCAATTATCATGTTTTCTCCCACTGAAAAGCCAACCCTCTATGTTGCTCATGACAAGTAATAATTTATCTTTCTATATTTTATCTTTAACCATATATATCCATCCATTTGTCGTTTTCCAATTTTCCGTATATTTTTATTTTACTATATATCGTCCACGTGGTATGCGGGTATCATATCATTCAAGAATCATTATTAATTTTTATTTCACTAACTGTCCACGTGGTATGCGGTATTAAAAATTAATTCATTTTTATATAGTTGTTTTTTATTCAAGATAATAGCATCAAATTCAAGAAATATTTTTTACCAAGATTAACCTTCTATAAATAGCATCAATGTTGAAGTTAATATTAAAAACTTTCCAAACTCAAGCTCTTCCCACAATTGGTCTCAACCATATATTTGTTTTAAACTATAAAAAATTATTATTTTTTGATTATAGTTTTCTTTTGACTTTCTTAACACTTTCAATTTACATTGATATTATATATTATTGCTATGATTTTTATTTATGACATTTTTGCCCATTTTAGTAAATCATGGATCCACCTGAATTCGAGAAGCCTTTGTTAATCTTTTTTTAGAAAATTTATTGCCAACACATATGTGTGGTTTCATATACTAAGTCAATTAAAAAAAATTTACTTATTTTGCTTTTTATTATATATAATTTAAATATTATCGTTTGAATCAAAATATTATATAAATAAAATTTTCTCTTTATTATATTCATCCACGTAGCATTGAGACATCATATCAGAATATTCGTAATAATTATATTGGACAACTCATTTTTCATTACGAGTGCTCATTTTCTTTTTAGCAATATCTCTTTTCATGTTATATTATAGTTTTGTTTGTAGATTTAATTAATTAATTAATTTTTTTATTTTTGGTTTTTGCAGACAATTAGTTACTGTTTTGGAGAGGCTCTCAAGTTTATCTGTTGAAGAGAGAGAACACAGGTGATTTATGAAGCTTTTGCAAATTCTAAAGAATGGAAACCAAAATACCAATTCAATACATAACACACTCTTTTTTACAAAAGATCATTAAATTCCTAAAATAAAATTTTGGGTGGCATGCATCTTCTAGGATTGATCAAAAATTATATAAATGTTTTTTTTTTTTTTTTTTTTTTTTTCAATGTTATATTATAGTTTTGTTTGGTAGATTTAAATCTAATTAATTAATTTTTTTATTTTTGGTATATTTGAGGCTCAAACAATTAGTTACTGTGTTTTGAGAGGCTCTCAAGAGTTTTAATACTGGTTGAAGAAGAGAGAGAACACAGGTGAATTTATAGAAGCTTTTGCAAAATTCTATAAAGCATGGAAACGCTAAAATACCAATTCAATACATAACACCACTCTACTTTTTAGCAAAAGATCATTTAAAAATTCTAAAATGAATTTTGGGTGGCATGCTCTTTCTTAGGATTGATCAAGAAATATAATATATATAATGTTTTTTTTTTTTTTTCTTTTTTTTTAAATGTTGATCAATCTAAGAGGTTTGGAAATTTTATTCTTATAAATAATCGTAATTAATGATTTTTAGCGATTTTATATAACTGTCATCTACTTCGGAGGGGCTACTACGCATGAGGTAAGAAAACATGACACTCATTTTTTATGTTTCTTGTTTTTTTTTTTTTTTTTTTTTTTAATGTTGATCAATCAAAGGTTTGAAATTTCTTATAAATAATCCTAATTATGATTTTGCGTTTTATATGTCATCAGGAGGGCCTACACCATGAGGGTAAGAAACAACCTCATTTATGTTTTCTTGTTCTATTATATTTATATTTTTATTTTTATTAATTATATACTACCAAACTACTGTTGAATTATCACTAACACTGCTTTTCCAAGCTATAATAAAGAAAGTGAACAAGATGGCCAACCCAGAAGTGGCTAAAAAAAACTCTTCTCTCAACAAGTAAGCACAGTTTTCCTTTTTCAGGATCCCTATTGACAACAATACCAATAAAAGAAAAAAAGAAAAAAAAAAAAAGACTTCTTTAGTGTTTGTAATGTGAAGTTGCGAATCATAAACTTACCTTCTTTTTTTTTTCCCCTTTATTTCTTCATTGCAGAGATGAAGCAGTCAAAGTATGTTCCTTCACAGTGAGAGACTTAATGAGTACTTCAATTTTTGTTAATAAATAATGCTAAAATTGTTTTGTTAATGTTACGCCATAGCCTGGCCAAGCTCTGCAGCTGCAGAAGAATCATTTGGGAGAGCTGAAACAAAAACTCATTGAGAAGTCAAGAATTCTCAGGTTCTTCTTCTTTTTCTTGTTTTTCGCTTCATTGAATTTGTATGATCATAGTTAAGTTACTCTTCTCAGGGACTGGAAGAATCCATACACTGTTGACAACTTAGATCAGATCAAAGTGATGGAGGAACATCTCATTGCAAGTCTTGAGAGGATCAAAGAAAGGAAGGTATAGAAATTTCTTTTGGATTCAACATTTTTTTTTCTGCATTACATTGTTTTATCCATTCACTTCAATATTCATTTCTCTTATTTTAGATTCAGTTGTGGGAGCAGCAAAAAGGACACAAAGCCTCTAAGGTATGCCATACCTATGATTCTTATTTTCGCAAAGGTTGTAATAACAAATTATATTTGTTGATGGTCGAACTTGAACTTGGAAAATTTTTTAAAAACATAATTTTTTCATAAATTGAGATTCGTGATTTGGTGATGAAGACTTTAATGCATCCAAATGTGTAAATAAGTAGTCTAATATTTACCTTCTATTGTAGGCCAAACGCACAAATTGACCTCTGTTTCTTCATCTGGGTCCTCAGTGTCACCTTGAAGCTGCTCTATCAACAGATTATCAATGTGTTGCTTAGAAGAATATCTGAAGATGACAGCATATTATATGCTAATATTAGTGTGCTTTCATTTCTGTTTTTTTTTTTTTTTTTTTTGTGTTTTGCTTAGAAAAGAAACATCTGAAGATGACAGCGATATATATAGATGCTGAATTATAAGCTTGCGTGCTTTTCATTTCTGTTTTATTTTTTTTTTTTTTTTCCTTTTTTGGAAAACAATATTATCATATTTGAGTTTTTTTTTTTTTTTTTTTCTTTTTTGGAAAAACAATATTATATATTTTGAGTTGCAGACTCAATATTATGGTATGTTTTAACTGATGATGGTATTTAGAGCCAAAAATGGTATTTATAATAACTGATGATGGTATTTCAAACTAATTTTATATGGTATTTAGAGCAAAAAATGCTCTCTTGAACCATAGTTATTAAACCCAGCCCGATCCACGGGTCAAGCTAGAAAACCGGTGAACCGGATCGAATTTGCTTTTGAATCATTTTAGGAAGAGAATTAGATTGAACCGGTCCACCTGCATATACTTGGTTGACCTAGACCGATTTTTTTGATATTTTTACTTATTTTTTATTATATTATAATTATAATAAATATATATTATTAATATTTTATAATCCACTAATTGACCATTGACCCATTTGTGAATTGAATGGCTCATCCTTCCAATTCTTTAGTCCGGTAAAAGTCCGGGCCGGATTTAGTAGGGTTGTCTTGAACTGCCCAGTATTCATTTTAGTGGCATTAAAGCTATGTGAAGACCAGAGCTAAAAGCAAAGGGTTTACCCACTGAATATTGCTATTCAATCAATGTGGCCTAAAACCTCAGTTGCTGAAAAATCGCAATTCTCAAATTGTATCTGTACAGCTTCTGGATTTAGGACATGTTTATATTAATTATAAGGCAAAAACGAAATTAGCTTTTAAGCTCCAACATACAATAAAATCAAATTTGAAATTAACTGGAGTCTTTTAACTGTATAAAATTAATTAATGGAATCGGCAATTTCCAAAATCTGCAAAGTTTAAAAAGCCAATTAGCTCAAATTATGTTCTAGAAAAACAAAGTTGACAAGATTATTTAACATTCTGTTCTTATAATTAGTATGAACATAACATTAATATGCCGGTATCATGACATTAATTTTAAAATTTAAAATTTTCAAATTGGGAGTATTATTGATACAAAATGAAGTATAAAATATAATTTTACAAAAAAAAAAAAAAAAAAAAAAAAATATCACATTCCTTACAAAAAAAAAAAAGAAAAAAAAAAAAAAAAAAAAAAAAAGGGGTAAAATTAGGCAATTAATCTTTTCCCTGCTTAATCAGCAGTGGCAGTAAAGCTTACAGATATCTTTTCCCTACAGCAGTTCATGTTCATTTCAGATAAACTCCACGAGGCAATCTACTGGTAATTGGGAACCAAACCATCACCATCTAATCTTAGACAGATGGATCAATAATACGCTCCCCAATGAATTATTGCCGGTCAAGCATATAATGCACTGCACTGAACCCAACTTGCCTTTACTTCACAGAGGCCAGAGCCTGTCCTGCCCTGACCCTGCATACCCACCAGGCCACCAGTTGGTCCCATTGAGACAAATGACAAATTGCAGCAATGATTTTATATTGTACAGCATACATACATGGAGTTCTGATACCTATCGGTAAAAGTAGTCTCATCTCTCTTTTTTACCCTCTTTTTCTTAACTACAATAATTGATCCCAAATCTTTATACACAATTTCCACTCGCTGATCCACTAACCCCTTGGCAAAAGAAAATAAATAAAAGAGCATCCGCCAGCCCAATACCCAATGTTGGATATCTACCACTACTTACTATTCTACTATTATGATACTGGAATATTTCTTTCGCTGTTCTGGGAAATTACCTCGCCGAACTTCAGGAAGAGTTGTGCATCTGAGGTGCTCATGGAGGGGCAATTCACCATGTGTGGAGTCTTGAGATTTGCATAATCATCCATGTAGCAAGACACTTTGGCAGATGGAAGTGGGGGAGGTGGTGCTGGGGTGGTGCATTGTTTAATTGGCACCGATGGCAAAAGGCTACCGAGAACACGTGTCACTTCGTGCATAGTTGGCCGGTCTGCTGGCTGTCTCTTGGTGCATAAAAGGGCAAGCTGAAAAACCTTCTTTACAGCACCTAAATCTTTACATGTAGCAGTTATCTCAGGATCAACAGTTTCCATAACAGCATTGTTGGCGGTCTTCGATAAGATCTGATGCAATTAAAAAGCAGGAAGTTTGAGGCATCGATAAATATAAGTTGCATTTCCAAAGCATGATAATGCCATAAGTTATATTTTCAGCTTTAATATCTAAAGTAGCCATTTATATCGAAGAAGTCCTAGATCAAGAAAAGCCAAAATGAATGCTGAAAATCTACGACAGCACCAGTCTTAGCCTAGGAATAATGAATTAAAAACAGAATACAGAAGATAAACAACAAGCATGTGCATCTCCTATCGATTGATGAGATTTAATACTGTCATGAGTGAAGTTCTTTGTATTTAACAGATTCCATTTCTAACATGAAATGCAAACTCACAGCTAGCACTTGCAATGAGTATATTTAGGAGATACTGAACAGGGAAGTACACAAGGATGATAGAAAACAAACCAGATGATGGAGATTGCATTCATTGTCAACTGCTTTCCTTCCAGTCAACAACTCAAGTAGAACAATCCCGTAACTGTAGACATCAGACTTTTCTGTAAGTCGGGAAGTGCGGGCATATTCAGGATCTATATAACCAATAGTGCCCATTATGTAGGTAGAAGTATGAGATTTTGATACACATAAGCTCTTTGCAATGCCAAAATCAGTGAGATGGGCCTCAAAATCCTTGTCCAATAGAATGTTTGATGACTTGACATCTCTGTGAATGATGCGCGGACTACAATCATGGTGGAGATATGCTAATCCTTCAGCTGCTCCAATAGCTATTTGAAGACGAGTATACCAGTCAAGCTTTTTCTTCTTTGTAGGGCCTGAAAGACAGAGTACATAATGACTCAGAATACACAAGGATCTACATATGCTTGTCAGGAGACTCCTGTGATTTCACCTAAATCTTCTCACATGGATTTGGCATCCAATTTATTAGTAGTTCATTTCCATAGTCCCGCAAGCCTACCCACTTAAGGATTTAACTACAAGATGACAGTTTTGAAGGTTTTTGTACATGGGCCTAACTCAACCTTATAGATAATCAAAGAGATGGATCACACTTATGTGTACTAACAGTAAAAGCAAAAGAGCATAACACAAAATAAAAATCCAAAACAAAAACATGACAGCATTACATCTATCTAGGAATGCTCAAACTTACCATGAAGGAGATCCCAGAGACTGCCATTTTCCATGTAATCATAGAAAAGAAGGTTCCCAGAAGGGGACAGGGAATATCCTTGAAGGCTGACCAGATTCCGATGCTTGATGCTTCCCACTGTCTCCAGCTCCGTCTCAAATTCCTTCAAGCACTGAGGATAGTGAGAGTAAAGTCTCTTGATGGCAACTGGCTTGCAATTTTTAAGGACACATTTGTAAACAGAACTGGATGCACCATAACCAATTATGTATTTCTCACTCAAATTCTCAGTCATCCTCATGATATCCTCGTACACATGAAGTGCCATATTCATGTGAAGGATCACCAGCTTTGGTGTTGAGTAAGTAACTGTTCATTTATCAAGCAAACAAGTATTAGTATTGGCATAAATTCAGTTTGACAGGTGATCAAGCAAACTAAGCCACATGGCAACCACTGTTGCTTTTATTCTTCTCCACATGGCAACCACTGTGATTATATTTACTTCTTAAAATAACCTCAAAGAGTCAGATTATTAAAATAGTTTAGATCATTTGATGAGTTAAGCACAGAGAGTAAATTTCATATGCACAGTGAATACCAGGTTTGTCAAGTGATCCATCTGCAAATGGTGTTGGATTATGTGGCCTGCATGCTGCCACTAAGATCATGAGGAGAATAACAAGAGCTCCAAGAGCAATCCCAAGGATAGCTGCTTTAGAAATTGTAACTGCACGGACAATGGCAAGAAAATAATAATTGGTCATTCCTTCAGCACATTAACTGAAAAGCCTTAAACATAGGATGATTCCATTGCATTTCAAAAAATAGATTTTTGTTTTTTTCCCTTGATATTAAAGTAAAGGGTCCTAGGGCATTCATGTGCCTGTGTGAGCAATTTCCTACATTTGGCATAAATAAATAGTAGCATCATGAGAACAAGGTAATGTCACGTACAGTTTCCTGATGTTGAAACAAAATACACCCATGTATCACTGGTAGAAAAATCACATCAAGACCTGCTACTTACGTTCTATTAGCTGACCATGCATTTTCGTATAAATAATTTAACGTTTATGACTCTAGGATGTTCACCTAAACAAATGAAGTTCTCTGAAAAATTACTTCTACCAAAAGATAAAAGCTGTGGGCTATTCCTCCTATGTTGGCAAAACTAGTATCAAAGGTCACAAATACCTCGTTCTGTTGGATGAGACTCGTTGCATGGAGAATTGAGCCAGTAGCCACAAAGACCCTGGTTTCCAATAAAACTGCACATAAAAGTTATCAGTTTAATGGAAGCCTTGAAAGGCTAACAGTCAGAAACATCTGAACAGTAAAAAGAACAAATTTTGAGCTGATTTCAGAAATTTTTAAGTTAACATAATGGATATCGTCAAACTTCTGACCTGTTTGATGAAAACCTTGTAAAGTTATTGCTAGTTGGAATAACTCCAGCTAGGTTATTGTAAGAAACATTTCTGCATGTATGCATTAGGGTAAAATATCATAATCATACAACCTTCAGTCAAGCATTCAATTTTAGTCAGAAAAATATGAATTCCAGAAAATAATGAACTTACAATATGGTAAGACTTAGGCAGTTGATCAGGGAAATAACATCACCTGAAAGATTATTGTTTTCAAGTCTCCTGCAATATTTTGCATTAAAGAGATCAATACAGCAACATGGGCAGTTTATTTAATTGCAGTAAAGGGATCTATAAGCTATAGCTTTAAAAACTTGTTACGGCTACAAGCACAACATTGAAAGAAAAGCAAAGGACAAATAATTAAAATTTGTAATGCATAGGGCTCAAATGCACTGGCATATCCATCCAGATACAGGATGACAGTTACAACTTACGAAAGTTGGAAACTCACAATGAGAATATGTTCTGAAGTTGACTAAGTTCCTCAGGAATCACTCCGGATAGATGATTATGTGAAAGATCTCTACAATGCCATGAAATATAAAGTTAGAAAGGGCCAAGATATATAAGTGTACTTGTAGTAATGATTCCTTACATCTCCATAACACTTCTTAGGTTACCAAATTCTGCTGGAATAACTCCAGACAATTGATTCCTGCTTAGATTCCTATTACACAAAACAGCAGCAGTCAGTAAGAATAAAACATTTGTGATGATCGAATTATTTGGCATTTGAACTCACAGCTTTAGGAGATGTTCCAAATCACCAAGGGAAGAAGGAATAGACCCAGTAATTTTGTTTTTAGAAATATCCCTGATCCATTGGCCAAGGAGAAGCATTTAATAAAAAAATAAAATGACCAAAAAGGAAAAAGTTATATTCAAGCATTCAATACTTACAAAGTATCTAAATTACCAATCCGAGACAGCTCGATTGGAATATTGCCCCTAATGTTGTTGGAGGAGAGATTTCTGAAAGGTCAGAATGCAAATAATCAACCTGAATTCAGTTAACTTCAGAAGTACATTACCAAAAATATTGATGGCATGTATTCCTTTTGTGTTGAAGGATACAGAATGAAATAAAAATTTAACACTTAACATTTATGCAAAAGTTTGAATGAGCAAACTTACAAATACGTCATACTCTCAAGGCGTTGAAATGCGCGTGGGATGGTTCCATTCAACTTGTTACCATGCACATTGCTAACATTCAAACAAAATTGTTATCCACCATCTAGAACTGGTTAAGCACTTCAACAGAAAGTAAGAGGAAGGAGATTAAATGCTTACAGGCTGTTGAGATTTGTACATGAGCTAAGATTATCAGGTATAGGCCCTTCAAGATGGTTATTAGCAACATTTCTACAAGAACATTGCATTAGCAATCTACAATATACAGCAAGCATTAAAAGAAAAATTACAGAATAAGATAACATACAGATCAAATAAGTCAGTGAGTTTTCCAAGCTCTGCTGGGATGCCCCCTGTGAGTTGATTATCATTCAACTCCCTGAAAAGCAGAGAGTACCATTTCAAAATGTGAAATACTTTCGCCAAGTTCATCAAGAAACATAATAGTGTTCCAAAAACTATATGCATCAAAATTGATATTTTGTATACCACAACGATATGCTCACATCAAAGTACTTACAATCTAAAAACAAAAAATACCTAGAAAGGCTACAAGAATAAAATTTCCAAACAGGCTCTTGGATGGTGATAGAACTATGGAGAGAAATATATATCATTAACATTTTAATCTAACCATCACATGGTGGCAAATTAGCAGGAAAGTGAAGGGAGGAACATCTGGGAATACTGTCCTCAATATTAATACCAATAAATGGTGTCAAAATGACAACAGAATTGTTTAAAAGTTAAGAAGCTTCAGGAACATTCTCACAATGCAGTCACCATAAAAATGATGACTGCTCATAAGAAAGGTTTGTAAATCAATGAAAATTATTTATCATGTAACCACAGAAAAAAGTAGGGCACCACAAAAAGTAATAGCAAAGTGTTCGTACAAGTAGTGAAGCCTCGTCATATTCCCAAGTTCTGGGGGAATGGATCCAGTCAGCTTATTACCATGCAAATACCTACAAACATGGTCAATCCAATCAATATTAAATTTGGCAATGAAAGAGTATCAAATTTCAATTGAATGCATGGTTAAAAACCTAGAAATCAAGATAAGTTGATGATAGACTTCTATCATGCAGCATGTTAGGTTCAGTGCCAATACAATGTTGTCCTTGATGTTTAAGAACCAGAAATATAAAATTCAAGAACAGTAACCAGATACTTACAATTTCTCTGTGTAAGTCAAATTTCCCAAAATAGGAGGGATTGGCCCACTTAGAATGTTGCAGCTTAAATCTCTGATTTTACGACAAGGAAAAACAATAGCATAAGACGAACCCTTCTAAAATAAAACGGAAAGATGCAAGCTAAGAATATAGAATGATGATAAAATAAATCTATAAAGGTTGAGTACTAACAACCTCAAAGTCAAAGCCTTATAACTTCAGATAAAAGTATTAAAGCACTTACAGCACCGCAAGCGCCTGCATTAGGCCAATTACAGATGGAATCTTTCCCCCCAGCTGATTACCTTGCAAGGATCTAGCCCGTAAAATTAGTTATAAGAATCCTCCATAATGAAGAAGTTAACAAAATCGAAGCTGTTAATGAGATTTAAGAAAAGTGCAAGAACTTACAATGTGGCTACTTGTAAGAACCCAATGTTAAATGGAATCTCTCCAGTTAGCTGGTTGTAGGACAAGTCCCTGTCAATAGAAAGTAAATATATAAATTTCATCAATGATAGAAGGCATTCTAAGAAATTCAGCCCATAGAGTTGGATGAAGTACATACAAGACCTGGAAGGAAGTACAGTTGCCTATATTTTGAGGAATGCTCCCAGTCAAACTGTTGTTTCTCACATCACTACAATGATAAGTGAAACAAGGTTATAAAGGCACACCATATGACAAAATGCAAATTAAAAAGAGCATTGAGCGACATTTAATACTGAGGACTTACAAATACCACAAACCAGTTAGCTGGCACATATCTGGAGAGAGCGTACCCACCAAATTGTTTCCTCGCAAACCACTGAGAGGGAAAGGGAGGAGGGGAAGCAGAAAATGTGCTCAGACTCGAAATTGAGAAAATACCATAAAAGAGAAAACAAAAGACAGTTCAAAACGATGTAGAGGTATACATCAGAGAATCCAAAACATAAAGACGAGAAGGATACTTCAGATGTTCATCTACTTACAGATATTGCAGAACTTCATTCCAGTATATTAGTCTAGGTATCTCCCCACTGAGTCTATTCTGTGCCAGATCTCTGGAACAAAGTTTGGAATATAAGAAATCAAGATGAGGAGCATTACACCAGAGAAACAAAGTAAAAGGTATTAAATCTTACAAAACTTTCAAGTTTGGGATCTGGGACAGTGTGGATGGAATTGGCCCAATCAGCTGGTTGTTCTTCAAAATCCTGAAAACAACCCCGTTGCAAACAGTAGTTCAGAGTTAATCATCAACAATCCACAGTGCTCAAAACACGAAAAGAGATACGCTTGAGAAGCTACTTACAGAAATTCTAGTTGCTTCAACTTAGAAATTGAGAATGGTATATCTCCATATATCTCATTAAATGACAAGTCCCTAATAATACTCTCAACAGTAAGATATTAACCGAAGTAACAAAGACCAATAACCTGCTTACACAACAGAGCTTTCAGATGCAGAACTTACAGGCTTTTCAAAGATGAGCAATCGCCAATCTCATCAGGGATCTGCCCAGCGAGACGATTTCCCCTGAGATCACTGTTGCAGTAACGTAAAATAATAGTTAAATTTCACTCAAAGCCATGCCAACTCGATGAAATACAACAGAAAAAATATTTTGCTTAGGCTTCAAGTCTTTCAATGAAAACTGTTAAGAGTATCAAAAAAAAAAAAAAAGGGGATGATTACGCAGAGTAATGAAAGAAAGAAAGAGAGAGGCTAAGCAGTACGCAGAGTAGCATATAACAATTTTTTTTTAAAGAACCTAATTACAAAATGAAGATATAGAAGTCAAGTAGGAAAGAGTACATAGAAACCAGGTCTTTGAGATTTCCTATTGCAGGCGAAATCTCCCCATCAAGATTTAAACCTGACAGATTACTACGACACAAAAACAACAAAAAGGGAAAGGAAGATAAGGATCAGTTAATAACCATATAACATTTTGAAAGAACAAATACTAGCATTCATAACCAGAACTTCAAATAAAAAATTAGACTCACAGTGCAACAACATTGAAGGTGGCATTATCACAAGTGATTCCTCTCCATACACAGTAATCTGAAGATGGAGAGTCTGTCCAGTCATACAGAACATTGCCTACATCTCTAAATGACTTCTTTATCTCCAATAAAGTTGATCCTTCAACATATAAAACACAACTACCATTAGTCTCACTCTCAACAAAAATAACCAAAAAAACACATTGTTTATTACGCAACTAATAATAAATACAACTTTAAAAATGCTAAACCCCAGGTTTCTTCCAGAAAGAGAATCAAACCTAAATATCTTTGACAATGAAGTTTCACATATAAAATTGGAACTGAGACCACTAACCATAATAAAGAAGGTTTTGTTTACTCCTAAGAAATTTTGAAGAAAGAAAAGAAAAGGGTTAGATATTGGAACTTGGTAAACCTCACACACGTTGACATTAGCAGTTCAATTAAAATATAGCTTATGTACAGTTTGGTCTCAAAACAGATTAATATTAAAAAAAGAGAAGGAATCAAACATTCCACTTTCTTACACAAATTCTTCCTATAACCAAACCAAACAAGAACTCACCGTCGTCGGAAGTCACAGAACCAAATCCCAAACAGAGAACAAGAGCTAGGAAGAAAAATTGCACTCGGACTGCCATAATTGCCCGTTAAAAACCCAATTGTCAAACCAGACTACCCATCCCCTCAAACCTCTTTACACAACAACGTCTAAGCACTCTTCACTCAAAAGGTTAGACCTTTCCGTTCAGTTAGTACCCGGAAGAAGAAAAAAGATGAGAAGAAGCAGCAGTTAAGCTCTCATTGAAGTCGTCGACATTGAATGCAGCTACTGCAGTGAAGTGAAGAAGTGAGAGAACCAACCAAGGCTATGTTTTTTGTTTTGTTTTTTTTTTCCGGGTGTTCGAATTTTAGGTAACCTATCCTATAATGGAGAAGAAGAGTAGCTTAGCTTTGCTTGTGCAATCACATCGCTCTGGAGAGATAGGCCTCTGTGAAAATACAGTGCTACCATCGAGTGTTCAGAACAGAGAAAAAAACAGAGAGAGAAAGAGGAAATAGCAACAGCTAGAAAGAGAAAGAGAGATAATTATTTTCACATATAAAGTTAAAATACTCTCTCTTCGCGCTGCCACACCTCTGCAATAAAACCTGCAACTTTCTCTCTCTTTCCCTTTCTCTGTACATCTGATATAAGTGATAAGCTTTCTCTCTCTACATTTTTATTGCGTTGGGTTATCTCCTTCTCTCTCTTCGATTCTTTGGTAATAATAACAATGGCAATGCGAATCACGGGTCGCTTTCTCTTCGGTGTTTTTTTCCAGGGAGTTTCTGCAGGTAACGTAAATTCTACTGTTATCCTTTTGGGTTTTTTGACGGAATAAGGAGTCAAACGACAAAAACCTTCTCATTTTGTGGGTTAAAGTGGATATATAACTTTTCAACGGAGTTTCTTTGCAATTATAATTTTCTTTTTGCACTACACTTATTACCGTGTACAGTTATTAAGTTTTTACTGTGGCAGTTCCACTTTGGTAGTTACTTGCCAGCTCCCAGACCTCACTCAGGCCCCTGATGCCCCAAAACCCAACATGCTATGCTTCATCTTCGAACAAGACCTTTCATTTCTTTTTCATTTGGGCTCATATGCGATAAGATCTAAAATTAGCAATTTTGATCTAAAATTACATTTATTTCAATACAAGTTTATTAAGAATAATTCAACTTACATCAATGTACAATTTTAAATGTAGTAAATTCTAATTAACGGTTATGTTCAAATTTTGAACTTTTTTATCTGAAAATTTTATTAATTATATATTTATCACTAGACCGTATTGTGTATTTATTCATATCTATTCTAAGTTTATTTAAAGTGTTGTCGTATAATAAATATCCGTAAATTTTAAATTATATCAAAATGAACTAGTTTAGAATATCTATCACGAAACAATATGTAATTTTGGTATCTGAAGTCCTAAACTCATAATTAACAAATTTTCTAATAGTAAAAAATAAAAAGGAAATGGTAAATAAAAACGAAAAAGTAATAATTGAAAGTGGCCAAGTTAAAAAGTGCTAATACTAATAAATACATTGGTAAATGGGAGGGAGAGAGATGAGAAAGTGACAAGCAAAAGCAAGAACTGCAAAAACTGCAAAACTGGAAGTAGGCCAAATTGTAGTACTAGTAGTTTGATTTTTCACTTCCATCCACCTCCAACAAAAGAAAAGAAAAGAAAATAAAATAAAAAAACGAAAGGAAAGGTTTACTCCCTCTCTCTTTTTTCACCTCGGGAAGGTCATTCGTCTCGTCCATTCAGTGTCCCTGACACAATGCATCCCCTGCTTATCCATCGCGGGTCCCGCTTCTCCAATTGACGCCGTTAACGTCGCTGTCGTCCATCTCAGCCTAAATAATTTATTATTTTATTTCAAGTCGTTAATAACGAACTTTAAGCCTGTTAGAAAAATAGTAATATGGGCTCCTTTCCTGGATTAGGGGATGCTCCTCTTAAAGAAACACCCTTCTTTGCCTGCCCCACATTACGTTGCCTGCCTACTTCTGGCTAAAGGTTATAAAGTAATTTACTCTTATTATATAATAAATAGAATTACATTATATATTAAACAAATGATTGTCTCACGGATAAAGATAAAGAAGAGGATATCCCACCAATTTTTTTAATAAAAATTACATTACAATAGATGTAATTTTCAAAATACAATTAATCCATTTATATATTTTTAAAAATATATTAATATTTTTATATTTTACTTCTATTATATTTACTTGTCTGAATTAGATTTGGAGTTTGGATCTATACGAGTAAATAGCATACCCAAATAAAAGATGCATAGGAACAACTCAAGAACAATAGCTATCAAATTAGCTGGAAATTTACTAAATCCTAGACAAGTACTCGTACCAAATTCACCTCTAGTCCTTTTTGGTATAGGAATATTTGCTATATATGCAAGGTTTGTGCCAGAAAACATGTGCTGCATCTCATCAAGTTATTAGGGTTTCTTCCCAACAAAAAAAATGCTTACACGTCTTTTGCGTTTTGCGCTTTTTGATTACCAACAGTCTAAACGGCCACCACACAATCATTGATGTACTCTATAAACTATAATTACACAATTTTAAATAAGTAAAACAACTTTTCTAATTAAAAGTTTGGAATTTAAACTTTGAGCATAAAAGTTATTTAAATATTTAAAAAAACATTTTACTGTCAGTTGTAAATTTAATCAACGTAAATCTAGATTAATCGAACTTTTAAACTTTGAATATTAGATGGTTTAACATAAAAAAAATATGATAATTCCGGAAATATAGTTCTATCTAGACATACAATCTCATCTTTGTTGAATAATAAAAAAAAGCTTATTATTCAAAATTAAAATTGAATAATTTATTAATTTTTATTGTGAATAATTTTTGTTTTGTAAGATGACAATATTTTAAAGTTTTCGAATATAAAACATCACCAACACACACTAGAGTTGGAGCATTGAGGTCCACCACGTGTACTCCACGGCAGCAATGCAACGTTGCAGGTGGGCCATGGGCAATGCCAAGGTGGCTTTTCTATTTATATTAAATTAAATAGTAACTAATTAATAAAGGGAGTAGTAAATAGGAACGCGTAAGACTGGCCCACTATTCACATGTAAGGCGTTTTTGCATAGGGGTACGCAACCACAATTGTTTCCCAATCACGTGCCCATTTAATGTATATATTTAAGGTTTTGTGGGCCCGTAATTTTCTTACCATTGATACCGAAATGATATTTGATAGCCAATTTAAGCATTCCTCAGAGACCAGAATATTCTAATATAATATAATATACATATTCCTAATATAAATTTATTACAATATAGTATCCACTAAAAAAAGATACTGAATTTTCAATCGAAAATTAAGAATCGAACCTATTCTGTCTTCTAATTTTTGAAGATGGAAATTACCAAAAAGGGAAACTTGCTGAAACATATTTATTTCTGTCTTAGAAAAAAAAAGATTCCTTTAAAGTATTTGTTGCTATAATATCCCCTTTTTTTTTTTTGTTGGTAATTTTATTTCAATTGAAATTTAAAAAGATAATCTCACGGTTTTAGTTGAAATACTAATCGCCTAGGTTGCATGGACTGTAATAATTAATTTCTAAAATAATGTCGTTTAAAAGTATATATAAAGAAATAAATTAAATAAATATTATAAAAAAATAAATTAAAATAGAGTGAAAATGAGATACCACGCTAAGAAAGTTTATTCAAAATGAGATTAGATTAGCTTCACTCATCTTATTACATTTTAAATTTATATTATAGATAGACAACTATTATCATTTATAACTTTGATTACGTTTTAAATTTATATTATATATAGACAACTATTATCATTTATAAATTTGGTGTGTGTATATATATATTTATACTCTTGTGCTAAAATTTATGAAAATTTATGAGTATATATTTAATTTTAGAGCTTTTTAGAAAAAAAATTACTAAAATCATAAACGAAACTGAATTAATCAATTCAAATAAATGAATCGAAACACCATACTAAATAGATTCTACTAGATCTTAAAACAGATGATTGATTTGCTTTGATAGAGTCATAGTTTTTCCGTATTCTTGTAGAAGAGAGAGCCCTCCATTCAAAGTAGATATAAATCCTTCTAATAATGCAGCAGACAAACAACCTCCTCTAAGCGTGGGCCACAGGGGCATGTCTGCTACCTCTATCCTATTGGTTGGTCCAACTAGGAAAACTCAGTGCTACCTTCTTACGCGCAGATTACAGATGTGACGATCAATTTTTACAGAGACGAAGTTTATATTGCTAAAAGCCAGAACCCATTGGAAGGGTTACAAAATGCATTCGATTTCACAAGGATTAACTGTTTGACATAGAAATTTTTGAAAACAATGGTATTATTTCAGTTTTATACATCACGGCAATGTCGCTGTTTTTCTTTATTTCCTCGTTATTCAATCAAACTCACCATTGCAGAAGCGAAGCAAAGCAAACTCCAGCAAAATTTTGAACTTATAACAGACAAATATATATACTGCACGCGGACACGCTAGCTCTATTTGCTACTTTCTGGTTCATGGAGCTGTAGAAGCAATGAGTTGGTGACAACAAAAATTGAACTTAGAGCCATTAGTCCACCTGTCAAACGAAATACGAGTAATGAAATAACTACTCAAAACCACCGACGAAACATAAAAATGGTCCCATATAAATGGTATAGCTTCTGTTGTCAGAAGAAAATTTTCAATTATGCAATGAATGATAAATTTAACTCACCTGAAAGTGATGGAGTCATGGCAAAATCATATTGGGGAAGCAGTACTCCGGCGGCAATTGGAATAGCGACAACATTGTAAGCGATAGCCCACGATAAGTTTTGGTACACTTTCGCCATTGTTGCCCGAGCAAGATCCAAGGCGTCTACAACCTGCCATGAATAATCGATAATAATTATGTTTATACCCATTTGTCAAAAATAAATCTATTCCTAAGATGAGTACTTTTTCAAAATTTGAAGCCTTTGTTTAAAGTTATAAAGCAAGAATCAAGTAATTGAATTGCCAATAACTGAAACACGTGCACGATTCTTAATTTGGAAGCATAGTACTTTCAATTGTCTATTTTCCAGAGAGTTTCACCATCTTTCATGTGTAATGGAGTCTTGATATAGTTCTCTAAACCTTCTTTCTCAATTAAAATTCTAAGCTATAACTATGAAAATGAAGCTTCTTCTAGCAAACAATTTCTGTTCAAGCTATCGCATTTGATTTTTATAAAATATGAACATGATATTACAGTTGGATAATAGCTCCTTATCATGATGCACGTCAGATCAAGCAAAAAAGTTGAATTTTCTTTTTTCTTTTTTTTTTTCCCATGGCAGAGGAGAAAAAAAAATAAAAGACTACCAAAAATGGATTCAGAGAAATATTAAACAAAATATCAATTAATGGGAATTAGTAGGCTATTTCGAGTGAAGATTTGATAGACATTTCTTAGCCAATATTATTCTCGACTTGTTTGGGCTTAAAGCTGTTCCCCAAATTAAAAGAAGGAAATGAAATGGATTTTCTAGCTCTACAATGTCCAGGCTTAGAAAATAATAGTAAAAGCACGATTTCCATGGACATCTGACTCTCATCGCAGTATTTATTCCAACAAATTAATACTCATGAACAAGGGTAGCATCCAATGAGAAACAGAGCGAGATTCATAAATAGAAGATGAAAAAAAGGAGAATGACCATAAAAAGGAAGAAGAAGAAGAAAAAAAAAAAAAAAAAAAAAAAAAAATTCATGAATAGAAGATGAAAAAAAGGAGAAATGACCATATAAAAAGGAGAGAAGAGAAAAAAAAAAAAAAAAAAAAAAAACGTACTTGTGGAAAAGTCTGTTTTGGCCAAGAAGTATAATAGATGCTGCATCAGATGCAGCATTTTCTTTGAGCTTCATTTGAAGGGCAATCCCAACATCAGCAAGAGCCCAGAGAATGTGCATCGTTTATCCCATCACTACCTTCAGAAAACTACATGTCCCAGCTGTATATCTTTTCAAAATTAAGCTTAATAAGCAAGATGAACATTTCACTTAATCACCCATGTAGCATCCAACAATCAACCAGCAAATTTCTTCTAATTCCATTAAAAAGTCAAATTTCCACCAACTTAACTCTGGAAAAAAAAAAAAAAAAAAAAAAAAAACGTACTTGTGAAAGTCTGTTGCCAAGAAGTATAATAGATGCTGCATCAGATGCAGCATTTTCTTGAGCTTCATTCTGAAGGGCAATCCCAACATCAGCAAGAGCCAGAGATGGTGCATCGTTTATCCCATCACCTACCTTCAGAAAACTAACATGTCAGCTGTATATCTTTTCCAATTAAGCTTATAGCAGATGAACATTTCACTTTAATCACCATGTAGCAACCAATCAACCAGCAAATTTCTTCTAATTCATTAAAAAGTCAAATTTCCACCAACTTAACTCTGGTGATTTTTATGAAAAAGATAATATTTTCTACCATGGTTAGACGAATGTGGTGGCCATGCAATTTTGTCTACATAAAATTTAACATGAAACAGAGATCTGATAGATACTACATACCATCGCAACGCGATGCCCTGCAGCTTGAAGAGTTGAAATAACAGCAGATTTCTGCTGTGGAGCCAAGGAAGCATTGACAAATTCACTTCCTATTCCAACTCTGTTTGCGATGTTTGCAACTGCCTCTTCCCTATCTCCAGATACAAGGACTGTACTGATACCCTTCTGCTGGAGCCTACCAGCCCAAGTAAAATGATAATCATGTAAAGCAGGAAATCATGTGCTTACTACTTGGATTGCACGTATAAGATTCTGAGTCAGCATACGAGAGCAAAATGGACAATAATAAGGTCAATAAATTGATAGAACTTAAATTTCCTTACTTCCACCTTGTTCGAGTTTTTGGATGATTTTAAAAGAAATTCTGCTAAGGAACATGCTTTCAATCTAACAAAAATGGTAGACATGCAGTTAAGTGATATTTTTGCTTTTCTTAACTTCCAGCAGAAACATGCAGTATATGCAAGACATGTCCCTCGTTGGGCAGAACTCATAATCTCCATTTATTAAAGGTTAAAGAAAAGAAAAAAGAAAAATTCCACCAACAACTCGCAGAGGAACGAAAATTGGATGCAGTACTATATATGCCAACCACAAAGTCTACAACTCTATATCTAAATTCACAATACAATTCCAGAACCAGAAAACACTCTTAGTTAATTTATGGGTAATGTCAATATTGTGATAGACAGAGCAATGGCATCAATGGAAATGTTCATAAGTCATGACTACGTGCATTGAGAATTCCTCAGAATCATAATTTACCATTATGGATGAGAGAATTACCTACTTACAGTCAGTTCAGCATCATTGCGCAAACTGTCTGATATTGAAATGGCACCAATGATGCCTTCCCCTTCACGTCCAACATAGACAACGGTTTTCGAATAGTTTGATAATGAACCCACTTCCGATGGCTGAAATGTTACTGCAGTTTCCAGATTTCTTATATCTGACAGGTTTGTCTTTCTCTGGAAACGTTCATGCACCCAATCTAAAGTACCAACCGCAACCAGCCGTCCATCTACTTCCGCTAAGGCTCCAAAACCTGGTTCTGTCAATTGTCCTCGTGTAGCCGGAATAGTCAATTTCAATAATTCTGCTTCATTCACAATAGCTTTTGCAATTGGATGCAATGCTGTTTTCTCTACTGCAGCAGCAATTTGAAGAACTTCTGATTCTTTGTAAGTAATTGAAGCCACAGCAGAAACAGCAGGTTTTCCTTCAGTGAGGGTACCAGTCTGAAGTTGAAAAGTGCAACAATTATCTAAAAAATTTCCACTTCAATTCCGAGTGAGAGCATGCTTTGTGCGCGGGCGCGCGCGCGCGTGTGTGTGTGAGAGAGAGAGAGAGAGAGAGAGAGAGAGAGAGAGATGTCATAATTTAATAAATATATAACTACCTTGTCTAAAGCAATATACTTAATGCTCGCTAAACGTTCCAATACATCGCCTCCTCTTATAAGAAGTCCTTGCTTAGCTCCTGAAGTTTTCAAGCAGAAGGGAATTTAGGACTTCTAATGAGAATGAATTAAATACAAGACAAACTAGCTGGGGCCTTGTGGTTGTCTTAGACAGCCTAACAACAGGCTTCTATGTTTTTAAAACCAAACATCAAATTTCAATGTATTTAGAAGGATGCATCCCTTATGCCTGATTTTGGAGTAGTTGGAAAAATACGAGTCTGTTCTTTAATATGCTTTTGAAAAGTAGCGAGAAACAATTTTGTAGAGGTTCTAAAATTTCTATAGCCAATCTTCTCTCTTTGGCACATTGAGTTTTCGTTTTTCTTTTTTTTTTCTTGGAAAAGTTTGCCTAATTACAAAAATAATAGTTTATTGATTTTTATATTTATTAATTGTCATTAGGTACAAGATCTTTTGTTTTAGAGTTCAAAATTATTATTTTTTTATATTATTGAGAGTAATTTAGGAAGTGAGAATAAATGACTTCCAATTATGAAATTATATCAAAAATGAATTATACAAAATTAAATTGAATTCTGCATTTCAAGTTGCATTATACCAAACACATGGATTCATTCCAAATGAATTCGACAGCTCCAATTCATTTGAACCAAACACTACGTTAAGCTTATCATCGTGCATAGAGCATCAACCTAAAATAAATATCAAAGTCAGACAATATACCAAGTGAAGTTCCAACTAGAATTGCGGTGGGTGTGGCAAGGCCAAGTGCACAAGGGCAGGAAACTACCTGGATCAAGAAAACTCATGTTACGAGCTAGAGGCATGTATAAATTATACAAGTTTCTTCTTATTCTCTCTACACTTTTATATCAAGGATCATATAAAGCACTTATATGCTTCTTTTTTTCCCCCTTTTTCTTTCCATTTTCCAATGCACAAGACGCTGAATCAACAATTTTTTCTTGTCCTTAGACAATAAACCTAGGACAATAAAATGCATTTATTTCCCAGACTAAAGAAGCTGAATCAACAGTTTCACCATGTCCACATGCAAACATATGCATTAATAAGGTAACCTTTAAACCTCATTTCAATTACCATTATTCACTAAAGCATGGATGGGAAAGAAAAGATATATAAAACTCACCAAAACATCCACAGAAAGTTTCAAGCTCAACAGCAAACTGTCTCCATCAGGTCCAGCAATATCATTGAGCAAAACATCAGGAAAAATGTGTGACCCAATGTAGTACCTAATGTGAACAAAAAACAAAACATGAGAAGGAAGAAGAAGAAACCCAAAATCTAACAAATATAATAACTGAAAACTAGTACTTCTATGAGAAGATAATAATAGCATTTAAACCAAGAATATGCAAAGAAAATGTCCAATGAACAAGAAAAGTTCAAGGGAAAATACTTCAACCACTTCTAGGAAGAAGTAAAAAAGAATGATCTGCTTGAAATGGAAGGTCAGCACTATTAAAGGGCAACTAATATAGGGCAGTTTAAATATATGAGAAACAGTTGACGAACAAAAAAAAAAAAAAAAAGAAAAAAGGAACCAGAATTATTATTTAACAAATGCAGACAGCTAAATAGTTAGCTTGTAGTCAAGCCCCAAAGATGGGGGACATGGTATAACCACATAAAAATAACTACTATCAAATAATGTGTCTTTGTTATCATTTCGTTAAATAGATGTTATTGACATCTATTCACAATTACCCATCATTTTCACATGATCCTAGATTATAGAAATTTGCACCTGTAAGACAAACAATATTGCCACTTTAGATCACTATATAAACTATGGCATCCATTGACACTTTGAAGAATTAACTAATATCTATTTCCACTTTTCTTGTCTATCTCCTTTTAAGCGGCTTCAATATGAGGCTCAATCAAATAACAATGAAAGAAAAGAAATAAACCCTACCAAAAGGCAAAAGTGGCTGCAGATATGCTCATTACACTGTATACAAATGGCCCAGCTATTGAATCTGCAAGTCTTTGTATGGGTGCTTCATGACCTTGAGCATCCTCAACCTAAATATCACATCATAAAGCTTTAACACAATAGAAAGACTTCAAAACTTTGTATTCTGAACTTATAATTGTTGCATACTTATGCCTCATTGAGAAGGCATTCATTCAGAAGTCAATTTTCACATAATGAGTCAAAATTAGCATAAGATTTCAGAGATATACAGACAGAAGTTCCAAGCTACTGCCACAAAGTCTGAAAACATCTACTCCTTTCCTACATGCCATAAAACCTATCTATTCTCTCTGGTTTGTGTTTAAGAAGATGACTGTAAGTTATTTCTATTAGTAAATTTCCACTTATAAATAAACAATAAATTATTTCTACTCACAAACAGCACCCATTTGAAATACTTGATGTCCATACCAACAGAAAGTTGAAGAGCACCAATATTTTTTTTAGAATAGAACACAATTTTGATTGCCATCAAGTGAACCAAAAAAATAAGCAAAATTATTGGTCACAGACTTGGATGCATTTTACAGGTATGACATAACAGAGAGCAAAAGAGGGTACTGAGTAACTAACCATGCGAACTATCCTAGATATCGTCGAGTTGGAGCCAGTAGAGGATGCCTCAATCCTTAAAGGGCCATCCTGGAATTGTTTTTGACAATTGCCTACTGTTAAAAGAATGCAATAACTGAATGCCAAAGGAGAAAACTGCAGAAAATTTAACATCAACAGAATCTGTTCTCTCTCGAATATTGAAAAATTTTGCTCAAAACTATTAATATAAGTTAGAAAGGCACAACTTTGATGCTGAACTATAGCTTTGCAGGGATCTTTGATTCTAATTACCTCAAGGAAATAAACATACTATAATGAAAATAGATACTGCTTCTCAGATATAAGTGACAATAAAAAAACATCTAATATCTTCCTGCAATTCAAAATATAATTATACCCAGTTCATAGTTCCAGCTGAGACTTTGAGGCCTTCTTCCTTAAATACAGGAAGAGATTCCCCCGTAAGCATGGACTCATCCACAACACTTCTTCCTGCAAGAACTCTACCCTGTTCAGGAAAAGCATAATTCAACTCAATTCAGAATGTATTGCATGTGTTAAGGCTCAAATATAGTTACAGGTTCAAAATACTGGCATATTTTTTCCCTTTTCCCTTCTTAATGAGCAGGTTTCAATTATTAGCAAAAGTCATTAGAAGGGTCTTTTTGTTTCTAAATAAGAATGCATAATATTAAGAAAGAAGTCAGCATCCACAACACCTTTTGTGGATTTTCATATTTCGAAAAATATCTTGATTGGCTTCCATAATCATACTAGCTAGTTGAATATCAGAGTAAAATAATCATATAATTGCAAGTCCAGGAATTATGATTTGCAACATTCAATGGACAAAAACATACAATAGATACTAGAAACAAACAGAAAATATATCTTAAAAATACCCATGGCATTAGTGCAACCAGTATGATAATTACTTCATGGCTGGTAACAGATGCCCAAATCTATATAATTATCAGTTCCATAAAATGAAGGAACACTCACAAAGTGCATATAGGTTTGAAGCCTTGGCTTGATGTGAAAGTATTATCACGTATAGATCTAGTACTAAACTAAAATATGAAAAAAGAAATTTACTTTCTCATTCAGAGCATTAACTACGCGAACAAATTCAAAATCCTTACATCTACAGGAATAGTTTCTCCAGGCAGAACCAACACTGAGTCTCCAATTCGAACATCATCAGTGGGGACTTCAACACAAATTGCATCAGAGCAAAGAACAGAATCACCAGAGGAGTTGCCATCTGATGAAGTAATAACGAGGCGTGACTGAGTGGATATCAGTGACTGCAAAACACCCGTATTGTGAAGTTAAACAGGTGGTAATTTGTCTCCCTCTATCATTTAAGGTATATGATAGAAAATAATATACTCTGCACATGCCAATTAGGATATATTTCTGAGATTAGGAGGGTTAATAGTTAACCATAAAGAAAATGATGACTCTTCATGAGCACTAAACAATAAAGAAAAAGAACAAATATAAAACAAAATAGCCATGGATAGTTCTCAGTTAATGAAAGTAAATGATGCTTATGTTTGAACCAGTTTATTAAGTCAGTGATGCTTACACCAGAACATTAATCACAATGGGCAAATCAACTAGATGAAACAAATCTAGTAAAAAGGACCAAATTGTCTTAGTTCGTATTATTTTTTCTGCTGACAAACATTATCACATAAGGCATGTATGAGGATCAACCAAGTCAAAATACATGGAAAAGGGAATCAAGTAAGCATCCCATTTACTCCCTTGAATAAACAATGTGATTTTGAATCTAACTTTACCAGAAGTTCATTCATATCACTTGATGCCTTGATCCTTGCTTTTTCTTCAAGAGAACGTCCAAGCAACACGAAACCAAGAAGCATGACCTGCACACTAAACAACAACAGCCATCCATGAGAAATTTATTAACCAAAAAAAAAAAAAAAAATGAAAGCTATATCTTATGGTTTGATAGTCACAGAAAAACAGTTGATACATATAAAAAAGACTTTGTTTGTTGCCATGATAGATAGTAACTTTGGGAGGTGTGCTAGGTGTCTACATGACTGGAAAATAAGCTTTAGCCTAGTTGAAAATACATTCTCGAGCTAATTTTGAAAAAATAAATAAATTTTTCATACAAACATGCAAAGCAAGCTATAAAATTTCACAAGAAAAAGTGCAAAGATTGGAAGCAAGCAAGCCACCGGTTCATCAAAGAAAGAGGCGTCCCACTTGAGCTCAGGGTTAAGAAGTGAAACCTGTATAAAAAGGATTTGAGAGCAGAATAATTAGCAAAAACAAACTATGCTGCAATTTGGACAAATTTGATATTTCGTGTTTAAGTGAGGATCTACCGCACTGATAAAAAATGCAGCAACTGATCCAAATCCCACGAGAGAATTCATATTTGGCGATCCCTTCTTGAATGCCCTTATACCATCAAAAAGTAAGTCTGCAAAAAAAGTTTATTTTGATCTTAAATCAAAGAATACAATGTATTCGGTTTAGATCTGCTCATTCTATTGGAGAGCCGATTACGAACTACACAAAAAGAGTTCAAAAAGATTCTTCAATAATTACACAGTATTGAAATTGAAATGAGAGAAAAAACAATACTAGCAACTAACCTCTTCCTGGTCCTAACAGAGCTGCCAAAGACAAACCACCCTTCACGTACGAATTATGCAGCATCTCCCAAAAGAAACCTGCACCAAAACCAATTTTAGATAAGATGCTGCTTCAGTTGCCAGTATCTCCATAACATTAAAATTTACAACATGTGATTGCTACAGTACCATGAGCAACATGAATGCCTAGAGAGTGCAAAATATGTGAAGCATGCGATCCGCAACACAAAGCCACCAAAGTCCACGCAATCGCCACGCGATTCCTGCTCTTGACGAGCAATTCTTCTTTCTTTTGAACCATCTCTTGCCACTTCCTCACATTCTCTGCCACTCCTAGCCCCGAAACTCTCCTCTTTGCCTCAAATCCGCAATCAGTCAATCCCCGAGCAAGACCATCCGCTATCTCCGCCGATAATCCACTCTCCACAGCCTCCGGTTTCAACTTTATTGCAGCTGTCTCAGTCAACATGTTGACCACAACCGAATCAACACGTTCATCAGCAGAGAGCAAGGACTTGACGCGAGACACGCAAGAGCCGCACATCATTCCATGAACGTCAAGTAGAATAGGCGAGTCTTTGGACCGTCCGGAGGCTTGAAACGTTGAGTTTTGTACTTCAGGTTTGATCTCGAGGGAATTCGACAAAGTGAGATAACGAATGGTGCGTGACCGGAGAATCAATCGACGACGTTTAGGTAGTTGAGAAATGAAGTCAAAGCCATGAAAACGGTGTCGCGTGCTGTAGCTGAATCTAAACTTCGGGTGAGGCGACATGGAAAGCTTCAAAAAATCACTCGCCATTTTCTCAGAGAGGAATTGGAAAGAAAGTATTACATAGAAAGCCAACGACAGAGCGCTAAGGTGACCGGTGGACGAAAATAGTGGTGTTAGTTGCCCATTGTTCAAACTTCAAAGTGGTGGAATTAGAATTTGACACGTCAGATTACAATATCCTTTTTCGTTTCTTTCTTTTTGTTGGCGGCTAGCGGCAATAATTTGTGGTCGAAATAGCTGGCATACCTGGCCCAATCCGTAAAAAATCTGGGCCAACGCGGCTTTTTCGTAGCCCACTGAGATTGGTTAATAAAGAAAATTAAAAAAAAAAAAAAAAGAATAAGACGGTGCGTTTTATCTTACAAGAGGAAGCAAACGAAAGCGTACCACGTGGGAGATACAAAGAACAAACATCCAGTTCGTTATCTTCTTCTTTAGCTCTGGACATTGTGCCTTTTCAAGTCTCTCTGTGTCAACAACTATGGTTTCGAGCGGGGAGAATTCGAAGGGTGCAGTGCCGAGCTTTATGCCAAACTGCGTCTTGATCTCTTCATGGGTTGCTCAAAATCCATTTCTCAAACCTTTAAAGCCGAACAATCTAGCATCTCCAAATTGTATGATACACGAGCTGCATACATCACTCACTTCTACCGCTGATAAATGCTTGAGGTTTCTTCACTTGTTTGCCTCTGAAAATCCTATTCTCAAGAGAATATTTTCCCTCCCTTCCGATTTTAGCAACCATCTCGCCCAGGCAATTCTCTATGTCCTAACTCTAATTTATTTATTTTCGCCTTATTTATCATCCAAGTACATTCATATGCATTTGTAGATTATTTAGCTAATTTGTACTTCTTTAATTGATTTTTTTAATCTGGTATAGGAAAAAAGTAGTTTTTTTTTTCTTTTAAATTACTAATTTTTTTTTTGGAAATTGTACCTCAGATTCAATGCAAGAACAAATGCAATGGAAAGTCTGTGTCTAATCACAAGTTTGCTGCTATCTTACCTGGCGATTCAGTGGCAGGAGTTGTGGTGGCTAATGGCATTCTCAATTTTCTCAACATATACAACACCCTGTTGATTGTAAGGCTTGTTTTGACATGGTTTCCTAACTCTCCTCCTGCCATTGTTAGTCCTCTGAGGTGCACATCCCAACTTTTTGAATTTTGAATAATTTTATTTTGTGCCAAGATATTGAATTTTTCATGATTTAGTAATTAGTATGGTACGAAAACCATAGCACCTGTCAGAAGTGAGCTATAGATTAAAAGAAGTAAAAGATTTGATGGTTACACACTCTCCATTTCCATTTTTAGTTTTAATCCACATTTCTTGTGGTGTCTTATTTTAGTTGGATTGCCATTCTAACTGATAGTGCTAATCTGTTGTTAGTTATCTGCAAAAAAATACATTTACTAGAGATTGTAGTAGAGATTGCATTGAGGCAAAATTCAATCTTGACAGGAAACAAGATTCAAGTTAAGCCATTGCTCATTGAAGTGGATTTTTTTTTTCCTTTAAATAATAATTATAATGTGGGTTTTTTTCATATTTTGAATTCAGCACTATCTGTGATCCTTACTTGAACATATTCCGCGGAATCATCCCACCGCTAGGAGGGACATTGGATCTCTCTCCAATTCTAGCATTCCTTGTTCTAAATGCATTTACTAGTACTGCTGCTGCACTTCCTGCTGAACTTCCAAAAACAAATGCTTCTCAAGGAAGGTGTACACCCCAGACAAGCTTCAGTAATCTTACTACATCACAGAAGAAATGGATGAGAAGGCTCTATGGGAATAAGTCACATAGCTCTAACTAATGGTGCCGATTAGGCCACTATCATCATAGTCCTCTTTTAGGTATACAGCTTATGTATTTTTATTTTTTTGCGATTTTCAAACTCTGGGCAGTCTTATTCGGCTAATGATCGATTCAGCTTGCTGAATTATAGAAATTCTTTGTTCTTTTTTGTATTAGTTCTACTATATTCTTTCATGGTTATGGCATGATGAATAGCATTCCTGTTGATTTGAGTGAGATTTCATTTTCAAACTAGAACTTGTAGCTTGGGAGTACACTGTAAAAATTGCACATAACTCTCCTCTTTCTCTCTTCTTTGCGAAGGGAAGCCGGAAAGTTTAGACGAAGGAGTCAACCGGTCAGTGTGCTGATTGCTCCATTTGCTCTCTATTTTGTAAAGCTAAGCGATAAATCAGAAATTTGTGGATTGAATGCATGAAGTTAAAAAATTAAAGAAAGGGGAAAAAATGATGTGATACTGAAAGCATCAGATTCTTACAAATTTTGTGGTTAGCATCCAATTTTTCAATTTTTATCTTTTTAATGGAGAATAGTCTATTCTTGTCCATTATCTTCTTCAGTCTTCACATCCATCCAATCCAGCACCAAAGAACTTCATGGACAAGCTGCCGTGAACCCTACTATTTTTATACAGAAGAATTTGGCAGCTTCCAGAAGGATTCCTTTAGAAAGCATAAGGTTTAAAGTCACAGAGATTGCTTAGGAGGAAATCTTTTTAAAACTCTATTTCGTTAAGCGCCTTGAGATCTTTTTAGTTTTTGGTTTTTAACACTAATTTAGCTACAAATTTAAAGAATACTCCATTAGTCCATTATGAATGCTGGAAGTTTTAATAACTTAGCACAAGTATTCCTCCAATCTCAACCGTCTGATATGATTTGATACATCATAATTGAGCCGTTTTGAACTGTCTACTTTTACTCTCAAAAGAAAATAACCAAGTAACGCTACTAGAAAAAGAATAATCAAGGGAGTGGAAGGTATTAGAGTTAACAAGAAGGAAATTCTTTAGTTCTGTTTCCTAAATGGAGCCGATAGCTACATGCAGGAGTAGGAGGTCTTCCTCGTATGAGAGGCTTGTGTTGGTAGGGTTGGGCCTTCTAGCTGTGATCTCACCTCTATATATCAACCGGAGACCGGTTAGTGATCCCGAGGACGATGAAGAATCCATCAGTCTCACTTCCTGGTTGCCTTTGCTACTGTTATTGCTGATCTTAGCCGTTGTTTTATCTCAGTATATAGACAGGGGCTTTACAAGGTACGTATGATTCAGAATCTGGTGGCTATTATGATGGAATTATCATAACCCTTGTTATTCTTGCAGGACTAGCAAGTTTTCTTCATTTGAGAGGCTTGTGGGTATTGGCTTGGCCCTTTTAGCCGTGATTTCACCTCTTTATATTAACCGCAGACCCGAGACTGATTTAGAGCTTGAAGAACAACCCATTAAAGTAGCTTCTTGGTTACCCTTACTTCCTCTGGCTCTGATTGTGATCATTGCTTTATCACTGTGTTTAGACCAGAGCCTTCCCAGGTTTGATCCTTACTGGATCCATAGAGTTGGCGGATCTTCAGGTGGAATCGTTGTAATTCTTGTGATTCTCGCATTGGTTTTGAAGTTCAAGACTGGATAAAATTGGAGAAACAAGCAGCTTCATGTCATAGACTTGAATTTTCTTTTTCCTGCTGTACTTTGATGAAAAATTTTCCGCAATTTCTTCTAATTAAACACATCTTTTGGTATCCCTAGGAGGCTTTTTCTGTCTGAATGAAAAGATTTTGCTTTTCCTCCTTTTTCATCTCTCTACACAGCTAATTGAATTTTAGTACCAGTACGATTCTTTATGTTCAATGAAGGTGATATAATGAGTTCTTACAAATTAAATTACATGCTAATTTGCTATTAGCAGAAAATGAATCCTGGAAAAGAGTTTTTACTGGAAATCCAAATCCTGATCCTTCCAACCAAAAATTCCTAATTCTCCAATTTGTAATTTTTGTTTTTTCATCTTTGAAGAATATTAGATGTTAGGAAACAGAGGCATTTTTCATGTGGAGCAGAGATTAGCAAAATTTAAGGATGAGAGGAATCTCCATTCTTCTCCTCAGCGAAATCTAACAGAGGAGAATAGCGTAATGGAGGTTCTTCAGGTCTAAACAAATCAACAGTTTCCAAAATTGAAGTCATCTTATATCCAATGATATTCACCAGAGAATTGGAGTGGCCGTTCACAAACACATCTGTAATCTGCACAAATGTAGCAAAACCGTCTTAAATCAAACAAGATTACCGTAAAACACGAGTTTTTATTACTATTATTTTTTAATTTCAAAGTTAAAATGAAACTGGCTCAATATTTTTCTTGTTTACCTGTGTGCATCCAAAGATTTTGAGCTCCTTCAGTGATGAGCAGCAGTCAACAATCCATCTGATAGCCTCATTTGTTAACTTGCGGCACCACGACAAGTCCAAATTCAACAGGTTTCTTGAACATTTGGCAATTGATTCAGCAGTGTTGAAACCGACCTGTTAAAAGTTACTCATTAAGGTTGCTCTCCTACAAAGTGTGTAATTGAGATTGATTATATCTCACCCTGCTGATGTGATTCAGTGAAAGCACATTTAGAGACTTCCCAGAGACTTCCAAGAAGGCAGCAATAGCTTCATCACTGTCATGTGTAGAAATTTATATAGTAAAATGTAAAACATAGAACAATAAACTACAACCACATAAAACTGGTTCTATGAATCAAAATCAGTGACTCCTAACAATCCCAATTAATTTCAAAATGTAATATATATGAAATAGTTAGTAAAAGCACAATCAATTCCATTAACAACAATTACTTAAATGGTAGACACCTTCATACAATATGGTGGTAACTAGCTTCAACAGAAACATTACCAGTGTAAATGCACAAATAAAAATAGACATTGATATAGGATCTGCAGATATAAAACCTAAAATCATTGTGGCGAAGTGTGAGTTTGCGAATTGATCGACAACCATCTGCTAGATATTGTAAAGCTGAATCTGTCAAGTTATGCAAATGTGAAAGGTCAATGGCACATAAATTGGGACAAGATTTGCCCACAAATTTAAGTGCTTCATCAGTCAACCTCCTGCATCCATTCAAAAGCATCCTTATTAGTTGAAAAAAAAAAAAAAAAAAAAATTATGCCAAAATGGTGAAAGGTCCCAAATGTGGCAAACATAAAATTTGGGAACAAAAGAATCGTTGCCCACAAATTTTAGAGGTGCTTCATCAAGTCAACATCGCTGTCCATCCATGTCAAAAGCATCCTTGCATGTAGCATTGAAAAAAAAAAAAAAAAAAAAAAGAAAAAGATGTGATAAGTTAAACCGGTGTAACAAAGGGTTGTCAGAGGAAACTCAAGTTTCGGCAATTGAGGCAAAAAACAGGCCAGCTACGCGCTCCCCCGTCCCTCGGCCTCCCCCACTCCTTGAGATTCATGCCATGGTGCTGTCAACAATTCCTAAATAAACAAAAAACAATCATTAACAGTCCCCCCCCTTGGAATACCTGCTACTTTGAACAACACTTCTAGATGCTTGCAATTTCTTTCACAGTGCCTGGTTAAAAAATTACGCTGATAGGGCACGGTGTATGCTTTGACAATCCATGCTAAATATATAAGCTCTCGTCACAGGTAGATCCATAATGAATTAAAGCTAGAACTTGTCGATGGCCACGAACGAATATGTTAAGAAGAGAAGCACTGAGCCTAAGAATGTTATAGATTGGTAAATGCAAGTGCGAAGTCAAAACAGCAAAACTCACCTAGCCCCATTATATCAAGATAAACGGAATAGGTCACCCCTCCAAAGATATGGTGGCTTTAAGTTTAGGAAGGCCCCTGTTTTCAATTTCAGAGACTTAAATGTGTCCCACCCAAATAACATAATCCAGTCATACAATAAGTCCAAAAAAAAAAAAAAAAAAAAGAAAGATGTTGATAGTAAGTGTAACAAGTCAGAGAAACTCACTCGCAATTAGCAAAAACAAGCTCCTTGAGATTCATGCCATGTGCTTCAACAATTCTAATAACAAAAACATCATTAACAGTCTGAATACCTGCTACTGACAACACTTCTAGATGCTTGAATTTCTTCAATGCTGGTAAAATACGTGTGGCGTGTATGCTTTGACAATCATCTATATATAGCTCTCTCAAAGTAGATCCATAATGATTAGCTAGAACTTCGATGCCACGATATGTTAGAAGAGAGCACTGGCTAAGATTTATAGATTGTAATGCAGGTGCACAAACAGCAAACTCACCTAGCCCATTATCAGATAAACGATGTGCACCCCTCAAAGATATGGTGGCTAGTTTAGGAAGGCTGTTCAATTTCAGAGCTAATGTGTCACCCAATACATAATCAGTCATACATAGTCCACAAAGGTCAAGTTGTAGCACCTGTCCGAGATCCCCAACAAAATCACAACTAAATGACAAATCTTAATCATTTGATTCTTTTCAATCTTGGTTCTTCTCTGACTTAAATAATAACTAGAATTATAAACTTCATTAATATAATAAACGTATTAACAGATATAAACTTGTAAAGTTACTCACAGTCAAGTTCTTGAAATGACAGGAACCAAATATTTTGGTACATTCGTCTTCTGTCAAGTTTGAGGCGCCCCTAACGCGTATTTCAGTCGGAGAATTCCTTGCAAGAAGTTCAACAAAGCGTGCATCCATTTTTCCAGAAGAACAAACCATTTGACTAAGCCTATGCCTTAAATGGTCTGGAACAAATTCAAGTGACACAATTTTATCAGCATTCCTAGCAAGAACTCTGAGACTAAGATCCAACAGTTTAGGAACATTCCTTCTGGGTCCTTTGTTTGTTGCAGGCCCCCATTCCTTACGAAAATTCCTCTTCTTGATTGCTTCCATTGCCAAAAAAAATGGACTTTGAGAATCATCTAATTTGCTATCAACTTCACTCAATTTTGTTGCTCTTTCTTTGATTCCTGTTCCTTGCTGATGCTGTTCAGGATGTGCAAGTCTTTGAGCAACACTTTTAGCTATACAACGCTGCTTTTTTGTGGGTTCTATTCTTGATATTTCTTCAGTTTCATTGAAAAAGGGACTTGTCACATCCGACTCCACAGCTTCTTCTCTAGGCAAAACATGTTCCTCCACAAAAAGATTTAGCTCTACAAGTTCCTTGTTTAGCATTCCTGGCTCATCACTACTTGAAGAGGATACATAGACTACATCTATCTTTCCAATTACTTCTTCAATTGGGTATTGCTCAAAATCCTGATTCTCCATTCTATTATCAATTTTGGCCTTTGCCTTTTCTTCAACGGAGAATCTCCTTCTCTTACTCGAAGAATTACTCCCTTCAACACCTGGGTCTCTCTCCATTCTCCAGATATTACCACCATAACAATTATCCGGATCACTACTATCAACTAACCCGAAGTCCGTTTTTTTCTGGTGGAAACCGGAATTGAAAGCAATAAAATCTTCAAACTCTGATCCACTTAAAGACTCTTGGACTAGAAAATCCAGATCAATTTTGGGTTTCTGATGGAAAACGTAATTCAAAGAAACAGAATCTTCAAACCCTAATCCACTTAAAGGCTCTTGGACCGGTAAATTCAGATCAATTTTGGGTTTCTCTTTCTCGTTTCCGTCCCCCAAATCCATCTATAAATTTCTTCCCAGTCTTTCTTTCTTTCTTGTTCTCGAATGCAAAGTTCCGTCAATTTCTCGAGAAAAGAGAACAAAGTTTAATCAAGAAACCGACTCGTCTTCCACTGAATTTGGGAGTTCAGATTCTACAATATATAAATTATAAAATGATTATGCTTTTCTGGAGTCACTCTAATTTTTCCACTTTCATATACGCGCTGTTTCCGTGCATTTATATAGTTCCCGCTTAAAGCTAACTGACAAAACAATTTCTATTGCATTGTTAGAGACAACAAGACGTTTACTTGTTGACTAGCGGTCTTCCAATAAGTGGAACACTCGTCGCCTTCACACTGTTTGTTCTTGATAACGACGTCGTTCAGAAAGGTTCCGTTCCGTCACGATTATGAAGTAAACAACAGCGTTTAATGATTTGATTTTTTTCTTCTGAGAGAGATTTTAGACGCATACAAAGATTGTGCTTCTGATTGCTGGGTGTACTTCCCAAAATAACATTAATTGTTTCTTCTTCCTCTAAAAGCATTGTTTTTAATTGCTCATCAAAAGAATTAACCAATAGCATATATTATTTTCAGAAGGTTATCAATTCATGCAACAAACCCATAGTGAGTGAGGGAAATTTTGTGGAGATTACATATGAAAAATTAAAATGGATGAAAATAGTAAATAACAATCTCAGAATTGTAGCCTTCCTGCTTGAATTTGCATTAAAGGGGAAAAAGATAAAAAGAAATGCATTTCTTGGAGCATATTCAGGTGGTCCAGAATATTACATAAATGAAAAGAAAACTGAATAAAAAAAAAAAAAAAGAATGGCTCAGTATTACACTCAAAATGACATGAAATAATGATTAAAACAAACAATTACTAGGGCCAAGCCATCTAATACAATAGAACAAAAAAAGAGAGGGCTTGAAAATCAAGTGGATAACACTTCAAGTCCGGAAAAGGAAGGAATTATAGAACAAATGCATATATCAGTGCAAACAAAGCAGCAGCATAGGGCCATAGAGCAAGAGGCTTGGGCCAACCACTAGCACCATTGCATTGATCATTAGCACCACTAAAGCATCCAGGTCTTGTTACCTTAGCCACACCTCCCTCTAAAGCAAAGCTACTGTTTCGCTTACCATTGCTGAACAATACACACCAAAAATAGGGAGATCCACCATCAGTGCCAGTAACCGCAGCCCCGACTTCAGTGTGATTCTTATCGTATAGAATCTCTAAGCTCTTGCTGTTTTTCATGAGAATATCTGAGAATGCTTCAGCTGGATCGACATACTTGGACTGGCAGGCAAGTAAACGACCAGTTATTGGAGTGAGAGTTGAGACTGTTACTCCACAAGTAGGAGCAAAAGTTTCAGCAAATTCAGATTCAGCAGGTTTCTTGGCATCTGGTCCTCCAACAGCACCACAATCCCCTTGATAGGCTTTTATGTATTGTAAAGCAATGCAGGCTAGGCCTGGATTGTCATAGAGGGTTGATCCCTTGTGTGCGGTCCTATTGCTTGTAAGCACAGCCACCAGTTCATCCGCAGGGTTATCTGTTACTTTTACCACGTCTAATGTACATGAAAAGGGAAACTTGGTTAAAACTCAGGCATAAATTAATGACCAAAGAAAAGCAACAGTATGCAACGTGAATTTTAACTAAGGCTGTACAACTATGTTAAATTTTGTTAGGAAATTTATGTTTTTCTGCTCCCATATGATATGAGGCATGTCCCATAACCTGTGATAGCTACGAAAGGGTACATTACATCATAGTTTCTTGAGACAAAAACATAAAGTAGTTTTTGCTTTAGAACAAAGTTTTCATCTTCTAACTCAGCCACTCCAGAGACCTTTTCTTTATCTTATCAATTGAAGATCAGGTAGAAGGTATTCCCCGGTTTATAAGATGCACTTTTTTCCTACTCTTTCTCCAAATTTTGCATTAACTGCCATATTGGTGAGACAATTTTAATTCTGATGAATCTTTCAAAGGCAGATCTGGGTACAGTTAACATAGCCTATGTATTTTTTGTAATAAAACATAAAAAAACAAATAAAAATAAAAAGAGATGGAAACAAGAAAGATGAATGCTGCACTTAGTTAGGAGTTGCAAAAGGAAAAGGATTGCTTTATTCCCTTGCATGGACATAAATAGTAAGCATAAAAATAAAATCTGCAAACTCTCAAGCTACAAAAAAATCAGAAAAGAAAAGGCCTCCTCACCACCACTTCAGTCTCTCAAACTAACAAATCCTTGAAGTTGTTTTATTTCTGATTTTCCACAATTCTAAGATAAAAAGCCAAAGCCATCCAAGTTTGGGGAACTCCAAAACCCAAACCAGGAGACAATGTAACATCCCATTTTTTAAATTTAGCACACAAAAAATACTCACATAAAGGCTGAAGTTTCTGGAAACACCATTCACAATGTACACTCAGAAACAAGTGGCTCCTTTGTTCATAGTTAAATTGCTTTACCTTGATTCGCGTAATGTAGGGAAAGTGTTTATTATTGAGAGATGATTGTTAATCCGTGATAGATAAAGCCTAATCGCTAACAATAACATTTCTAGCTATTAGGACTTTACTGTTTCTATGTTCACTCTTCACATAACCATAATGAAGACAGCAAAGATTAGCCAAACCGGCATCTTTTCTTCGGCTAAAACAACATAGATTGCAACAAGGTTAGCCTATCCAAACAAGACTAAAGGTGTGATTGAAGTATTATAATAGCCCCTCTAGTCCAACATTTCTCATTTTAATCTCCAAATTGGAATCTCAAGTCGATAAATAAAAAAATGGATACTCTAACTTCCTTAGAGTTGACTTTTTTTTTTTTTTTTTTTTTTTTAGATAAAAGCCCTATAATCGGCTTATACAATAACATTTTCCTAGCTAATTAGGAAATTTAGACTGTTTTCTATGTTTCACTCCTTCACATAAACCATAACTGAAGAAAACCAGCCAAAAGAATTAAAGCCCAAAACCGGGCATCTTTTCCTTCGGACTAAAACAACAAATAGATTTGCAACAAAGGTTTAGCCTATCCAAACAAGACCTACAAGGTGTTAGATTGAAGTATTAAGTATATGCGACCCTCTAGTCCAACATTTTCTCATTTTAAGTCTCCAAATTGGAATCTCAAGTCGGAATAAAGTAAAAAAAATGGAATACCCTGCGCTACTTCCTTAAGAGTTGTGAACTTTTTTTTGTTTTTTTTTTTTTGTAATGAAGGAAAATTGAAAAGCATCCCAACGACCAAATAATCAGCCCTGTTTCCTCAGAACTTTTTCAATTTTAATCATCCGGCAAAAAAGATTTTTAAAACAAAAGAAAAAAAAAGAAAAAATCCAAAAAACCAGAAAATGAAAAAGTCAAAGGTGTTCCCACAATGAGTAAAACTTGGGTGTCTAAAGCAGAGTATCTATATTATGAACAAAGTTTAAATTCACGCAAGCTTTTACTAAAATGTAAAAAAAAAGAAAAATTTTTTTTTTTTTTTTTTTTTTTTGTAATAGAAAATTGAAGCATCCAAGATCCAAATAATCAACCTGTTCTCATTTTCATTTAATCATCGGCAAAAAGATTTAAAAGAAAGAAAAAAAGAAAAATCCAAAACCAGAAATGAAATCAAAGGTGTTCCCACAAGAGTAAACTTGTGTCTAAAGCAGAGATCTATATTATGACAATTTAAATCACGCAGCTACTAAGTTTAAAGAAAATCTACTACAATGCCAATAGATATAATTAATGAACTTAAGCAGAACAAAGAAGCCACATTCCGAAATAAGTAAAAAGACCCACATAAGCAAACAGATTTCTAAAGTTTTAAAAGCAGATCAAGCACTTAATGCATGAACAAAATACATTCCCAAATCCATAATAGGAACAGACATTAGAGTTGATAAAAGAGAGAGGTTAAAAAAGAAGCTTACTATGAAAATTAGCAGAAGCAGAAACAAAGAGAAGAGGGAGTACGAGAAACAATGTAGCCATTGCTGCTATATCAGAGCTGTACTTTAGAGTGGGGAATGATTTTAATGATAGAGAAAGAGATCCGATATGAAACAGATGATGGGTCGGCAAGTGATATGTCAACTTCGCTTTGGTTGCTTTACAACTGTGGCTCACTGGTTTTTGGTTTGGAGAGATTATTAAACATGACCGACATGTCACCAACCCGGTTTTCGGGTCATACCCGACCGTTGTGTTAGTTAGTAAATGCTTAAAAAATTAAAGGGCAAATCTGTTATTTGAACATTAACCACGTGGCAGGCGCAAGTTGGGAACAAATGGATAGGAGTAGTTTCTTTTTCTTTCATTTTCTGTTCTCCTTCAACGGATAACTCTTTCTTCCTTAATCGAGGTCTAATGTTGCAGTAGCGCCATGCCAACACCTCACTCCGCGGCGCACGTTAGCGTCGGTCCTTTGAATCCTTCAGCTTTCCCGCTTGCTTTCTCCTCAAAAGATCCAAGGAAGAAGAAGAGTTTCTCTCAAGTGAGGTGCGCGTTGTCCTCCCCAAGATGGCGGGAGACTAACAGGCGATTGGTCTCCATCTCTCTCCTTCTCTCGCATATATTCCCTGTACCTAATCGTATGCGCCATTAATTATCTATATACACTCTTTTACTTAGAAAGCAAGAGAACAATATATATAGACGTACAGCATATGGATATGTATCTATAGATAGCGTATAATATTATACTATATTATAATAAAGAAGGAAAATTTAGTCACTTCCTGTTGTTCAGTAATTGAAGAATTGAAGAAATTTGGTAAGATGTTGGGTTTTCTAACTAAATTAATATAATTTATTTTAAAAATTTTTTTTTTTTATTTGGCAGAATGCAATTGCAGCTTAAACTTTTTGGGATAAGTATGTTTGAAAAGTTAAGGACTCAGATATAGAATAGAACTTCAAAATTTTTTTTTTTTTTTACCCCCCCAAATGTTTACATTATTAATGCATTAATAATACTATAAATTTGGTAACGGAAAACATCTGGATTCAATATATGCCGCAGTTCAACCGTAGTTTGTGTTGTATGTATGAGGGTTATCAAAGTGCGCTAAATACTGATTTAAAACAGAAAAGCAAGCCTCGGACCCACTTATGAACGGCATTAGTCGAAATTTCCCTGCTGTAACGAGTTTATTTCTCGGACGACTCGCGAGATCCGCAAGAGTTAGCAAAAGATTAATTTGGGACCTTTTGGGTAATTTGATTCCTTCTTGTTTACTAAAATTTCTTTTCCTTCGCCGATAAGACAGTACAGAATCGGTTTGGTAAATTAAAACTGGATTTTCGTTCTAATACAGCAAGAATGTTTGTGCAAAAATCCCATGTAGTAATGTACCGGGTGATTCGTAGAGTATTAATGATTTGGTATCACGTAACGAGATTTCGCTGTTGCTGCTCAGTGAAATTTGGTATTTCTTAAACATTGGTAAGTCACCTTGTACCTAAAAAGTGTTTCAATGTCATCCTTCTTCACAATTTTGCTAGAAAATGAAAGCCTGATTACGCACGCAGCCTGGTTGGAAAGAATATTGGAAAAAAAGTTTTTAATTTTTTGAGAACAATATATATATATATATATATATATATAAAGAAAATTTAGTCACTTCTGTTGTTCAGTATTGAGAATTGAAGAAATTGTAAGATGTGTTTTCTAACTAAATTAATATAATTTTTAAATTTTTTTTTTATTGCAGATGCAATTGCAGCTAACTTTTTGGATAAGTATGTGAAAAAGTAAGGACTCAGATATAGAATAGAACTTCAAATTTTTTTTTTTCCAATGTTAATTATTAATGCATTATAATAGCTATATTTGGTAACGGAAACATGGATTCATATAGCGCAGTTCACCTAGTTGTTGTTGTATGATTATATGCGTATACTGTTTAACAGAAAAAAGCTCGACCCACTTGAGGCATATGTTCCTGCTGTAATATTGACCCAGTTGCAGATTAAGGACTTGGGTAATTGATTCCTTCTTTTTACTAAATTTCTTTCTTCATAGAAGTAGATGGTGTAAATTACTGATTTCGTTCTATACAGCAAGATGTTGTGCAAAATCATGTAGTATTACGTAGTTCAATATGGATTCTTCTGTGATTTGGTTCTTAAACATTGGTAGTACCCTAAAAAGTGTTTCAATGTCATCCTTCTCACAATTTGCTAGAAATGAAGCCTGATTACCCCTGTTGGAAGATATTGAAAGTTTTTATTTTATTCTTTGATTGCAACAGTGAAAATTTTGGAGGTTGATCAACCCCAATTTGCTAACTATCGATCTCTACTACGCTCCGGTCCTGCAGCATCTCTTCGTGTAAATATTCGAGCAGTAAGTTAAATCCCTTGCATTCTTAATAAACTAATAACATATCAAAAATCCTTTGTTGCACAACCCAAAATGTAATCACCAAGGCTACCACATGCAGCTTTTAATTTGCAAAGGCCTCATACAGTATATGTCTAGCCACACTTTTTGGTATCGAGTGTATCTGTTGGTATCATATTCCTGGTTGAGAAATATTTCGAAGGAAATATGATGTTTGGTTTTAACAAAACCAACCAATTGCAATGTGCTTATAAATATAAATTGGTTAGATGATTTGTTCTGCATTCTTGTTGTCATGGTCGGTCTCATCTGGGAGTCTATGTTATTGTGTAAGATATCTGAAGCATCATTCATCATTCTCATTTGGATTTGCTTTATGGCAGTCTTTCTGTACATGAGTTCCTGAGCTTTTGGAAATTTTCTTCGGAACTTCAGGTTGCACAATACGCTTCTGATGCTGGAAGTGGCAACACTGCTTTCAATGATGTTGATCTATGTCTCAGGTATTTGCGATAATCTTTCAGCCATTTTCAAAAACCAAAAGAAATTTCGTCATACCATTTTGTTGCTGAAATGCCTTGCACTCTGGTCTTTCTAAGAATAATTTCAGAGGCATGGTGGGATCAGACCCGTTGTTCGATGAATGCAACTAGGATTTGTACCATATTCATGGGAACCATGACAGTTGAAAACTGTTTTAATTTCGATTAATTTTAGTTTGTAAATTAACATGTGAGCAACTTATTTGAGTTTTGATAGTGATAGTATTTCCACTTTTGTAGAGCCTTGGAAGAACTCGATTCCTTGCTTCTGCGTGCATCAAGAAATGATCCAGAAGCTTCAGTCAAATCAATGAAGGAAAAAGTAGGTGTCGCTCTTAATTCGCTAGACAGGTAATTCTTTGAGAGAAAAGAATGTAAAACCCTTTTTCTCTAATGGAGGCAGTATTACATTTTCATGATAAGTTTTGCACTTTTCAGCCTCCTCAGGACAGTTCCTCGAGATATTTTAGATCAAGGAAAGGCTATTGCAGATGCCTATAGAAGCCCACAAGAAGAAGATGAACCTGAAATCTTAGACCCAGAATTGAAAGAGTTGGAATCAATATTATGAATCATCAATTTTGTTTGTATATTACCACAATGTTAAGACTCCCCATTATACCATATGATCGATCAATAGCCAGAAACTAGAGTGGCAAATGATTTTCCTTTACTTGAAAGAGAATCACACACCAGATTAGTTGGTATCAGATATTTTGTACGATCTGCTCTTAATAATAGCAAAAACATGCAGTTTTATAACCAAATACATAGAAAATGTAAGGAGCAACTACAGAATTTCCTACAAATCTTAAATATATTATACACAAGCAATAATAGTGAAAACAAAGATTATTTATTGTTTTGTTACAATACGGAAGCTGCTACATCAAAGTGCCTATGTACTCAAACAGACATCATCATGACGGTAGGACATTTACAATATAGCAAGTAAAAAACCAGAGGATAGCACACAAAAATAACGTTGCCGCTTCACCTCAAAGTGAATCACCACCGCAAAAAATTCAAGTAAATCTCTTTATTCACATCATGAAGGCGACAAGCTGCTAAAGACTCGCTTCAAACTTGGACATGCTGCACGATATCTTCCCATGCTTATTGAGCATATCTGACATTTAGCATATCAACCCAAAATTTGTTTCAAGAATAACAACATAAAACGTGATATCAATAAAATCAACTTGGAATGAAAGCAAACTGATAAGAAGTGCATTCTGCCATGAAGACAGCAACTTGTTACAGTTTTCATCTAGACGGAAGCTATAGAAAGAAACCAATTAAGTGTTCTCACCTTTGGACAAAAACGCACATCTAAAGTCTCCAGCATGCTACATCGAGATATGGCAATTTCAACATCATCCTCGTCAATATTACAAGACTGCAAGCCCATTAACCATGTAGTGAGTAAACAACATTCGATGAAGCAGTTTTACTTTAACAAGAATGACAAATTAATAGTTGGTCAAAAAAGCATGGGAGATGGGTTAGGCAGTGCGAGGAGGGGGAACCACCAATAGTGCTCATCCTGAGCTATTTATAGCCAAATGGCAAATTGCACGTCACTATAGTGAAAGAGTAAATACAAAAAATTGGAGAATATGCCAGTCACAAGCTAACTTCCTACGTTATCCAATTCCAATCTACTGATGGATATGTCAGTAAAAGCTTTCCTTTACCCCTTCCACCTGAACAATATCAAGATAAATGTCTGAGAATTCAATCCAAAGACACAAGGCACATACCTGAAGAAATAAACTGGTCAATCTAGGGCACTCTAGCTTCAATATCTCCAAAGAGGAACAATTACTAAGAAGCAAACAAAATAAAGAAATCAACTAGTTGATGAGCATAGATCAAAATAAACATATCAAAGCATATTGCAAAAAAAATACCTCAAATTAAGAACACATAAACTAAGACAAGCAACATCAACTTCCTTCAAATTGGTAGATAATGACAGGTTTAGTGATGACAAATGGAAACATCGTGCCATTGGTGGAATGAGAACTTTTCTAATGTTCGAACAACCTACACAATTGAGGTTTTGTAGCAATCGGTTTGCCTGATCAATCGGCACAATTGCTTCATTAGAAAGGGCACATGAATCATACACACGTGGCAAATCAGAAAGTTGACCTCCATTGCATCCCCAATTTAGGTCATGCATATTCATACAGCCATTCAGGCTCAAATGAGTGAGATGTGTACAGCATGCAAGAAGCTCCTCTATTGCAGACTGACAGAGGGTCCCATAAGATAAGTCCAACTCTTGAAGCACTGGCAGAGCACCTTCCTTGTAAAGAGGCTCCAATGATGTGTCGGTGAGATACTTGCAAGCTTGCAACTTCAGTACCTTCAAGGCCAAGAAGTAGAATGAGGACCAACAGTAAAGGCCACCGATTTCGTACATATCATCCAACCAAACAAGAAGGAAACAAACAAAAGCATGGATAATGTACAAAGCGTAAGCTGTCAAGTTCAAATAATCATTGCACAGATGAAACAATGAAATCTCCTTGTTGGCGAATGAAGTGAAATGTGAATGCCTCAGTATCCTTATCCAACCCAAGTACTCCAAGTAAAGTGAAGAATTAAAATAACCATGGTAATTACCTTTAGCTGCAAACAAGACTCAAAAACTGGCTGGAGATTCATCAAGAAAGTATACGACAAATCTAGCACAGTAAGATTTGGAAGCCGGTGCAAAGAGTAAAGTCCATCAGAACCAACAGAAGGGCAAGACATCAGTATTAAAGACTCAATGAGTGGGCAAGATTTAGTTGTTGCAGACAAGCAGTCATCCTTGAGTTGGCTGCACATACATTCCAGAAAGATATCAGTCATAAGACCCAGAGGGACAACCAAAACATTAGCATAGGCAATATAAGATACATGACCTGCAGAAGGAAGCGTCCAGAGATGTTAGGAGAGGACAATTGATGGTTGCTTCAGATAGCACACCACATCCTTTCAACTCAAGTGACACCATATATGGTGCTTCTATATTAAGGACATTCAATTTTGGACAAATGCCCAAATTAAGTGACCTAAGAGCAACCTGAAACAGGGTAGAACATCACAAACAGTAAATAACAGACTGAGAATTTTATCATGGAGATAAAGCGAAATAGGCAGCAACTATTGCCACTTACAAGAGAAAATGATGCTCTCTCAAGATGATCACAACCATCCAAACAAACTTTCTCAAGACAAGGACCCGTTAGTTCAAGAGCAGTAATGGCTCGACAACCCACTAGGGAAAGACTGACTAAAGAGGTACTGCAGAATTGCACAGCTGTCAAGCTCTGAAAATGTAATTTGTTGAAGTCAGTTAAAAGGTAAAGTCATTTTCAACCACCGTAAGCACAGACAAATACTAGAGAGTACTGTTACGCACACATCAACAACTAATGTATCAAAAGGGGAAATTTTCAAGAGCTTAAAACAGTGGAATTTAGAAATGCAGAGCATGAATGACCAATATATTTCAAAAACAGTTGAAAGTTAATTCATCATGACATTACATGAATCAACAAATGGCCAGATAACGAATGCTATTGGTACTTTCCAAAAACAGTGAACCTATGGATGCCAGTTAAGTTGATTCCAGCCAGAACCTCCCCCCCCCACAACTATGGTATCAAAAGGGGAAATTTTTCAAGAGCTTAGAAAACAGTGGAATTTAGAAAAATGCCAGAGCATGAATGACCCAATATATTTTTCAAAAACAGTTTGAAAGTTTTAAATTCATCAATGACATTACAATGAATCAATCAAAATGGCCAGATACGAATGGCTATTGGTACTTTTCCAAAAACAGTAGGAAACGCACCTTTGGATGCCAGTTAAGTTGGAAGTTCCAGCCAGAACCTCGCCCCCCCCCCCCGCCCACCCCACAAAAAAAAAAAAAAAAAAAAAAAAAAAAAAAAAAAAAAAAAAAAAAAAAAAAAACCCAAACTTAATGTTCAAATGCATTCAACTCATCAATCCTTTTTTCCTCAAAAGATAATGAAATAGAATCCTGATTTCTGGAACCCAATACTTCGAGTGATTGAATTGGAAAAGTCTTAATAAGTGTAATCCCAATTTCAGAATTGATAATTCTACACAAGGTGCCTGCCAACTTTTTTCTTTTTAAAAATAATAAAAGAAAATACAGATACTGAAATTATTTGGATTCCTGACATATTCACAACAACATTAGCAAACTACCCACTAATTCATGTGGAAACTGTACTCAAGAGAACAAAAAAATATGCCAGGGATGATAACAATAAAAAACAAACAATATTGCCTCTGATTGCAGGATGAGTAAGAGCAAATTTCAGAAACTCAAAAGTAAAAGGCTCAAAAAAGAACAGGAATAATTTTGGCTAACCTCACAATTATCAAGAACCAATGATTTTAGCATAGGGCATCCCCCGCCATCACTGAAAACTTCACAAACAGAATTTGTCAGAGATTCACAATCTGTGAGGTCTACTTCTTGTAAATATTGGCATTGTAATGTCAATGTTGTTAGGTTTTCCTGTTTCTGCAACGCTAGCTTCTGCATGTCATAACATAATACAGCTCTCTGAGAATTATAACTGTAAAAAATGATAAAGGAGAAAACAAGAAAGATGTAGCTGTGCAATTGCAAGGAATACTTGAAGTGAATTCGACATTATATTAATGCGATGAAGTGCTGGGCAATTTGACACCATTATAGATGACAACATTACACTTCGTAAGTTCAGATCAGCAAACCTATCAAGAGAGGAGAAACAACAAGAATTAACAGCAAGCAAAAATTGAAGAGCAAACGAACACACCCACTCACCCCTCCTGTCACCCTATAGGCAAGAATACTTTCTGAGAGATGGAAGGCAAGGGACTATAGCTAGAGCAGGATTCTTACTTGCGACAATGTACTAGTCGTATGTTCTGGAGGCGAGGAAGATCTAAAGACACAGAAGTCAGTAAGCTGCAATTGTCAAGCTCCAAAACCTGAAAGGAAGTACAATTTTGATTTTGACATCCAATGCTGGCTACAAAGAAAGGATGCAACAAAGAAAGGATGCACATATATCTGGACTCAGAATACGAAGTGCAGGAGAATCCAAACCTCCAACATATAACTATGAGAAATTGCAGCCATTGAAGCTGAAGTTATTCCCTCGCAGCTGTGAAGCTTGAGAACTGTCAACAGGGGCAGTCTGACAGACTTCAAAACAAACACAAGGAAGCATGTCAAACTAAAGTACAACCACATAGCCAAAATAAAGGCAGTTGCTACCTACAAAAACTGACCTCAAGTGATATGTTTGGACAATATGATGCATTAAGAACGTGGAGATTAGCACAAGTGAGGGCTATTTCACGTAGTGTTTCATCACTGACACATGAACAATTCGACATGTCTAAAAATTCCAGTTGAGGACATGAAGTTGCTGCAGAACGGATCGCAGCATCTGAAAGTTTGTGGCATGACCCTATATCAAGGAGACGCAAGAGAGGACAAATGAGCAATGCTTGTGCCATGTTGCTGCGCTTCAAAGACAAAGTTTCAAGTTGCGGACACCTGAAAAAAATATATATTTTAGCACAAAATTGAAATTCATCAAAATTACAGAAGACTAGTGTTTGCTTTGGAGACCAATATTGTTTCACCTGACAGATATCCTGACCACACGGCATTTTGTAAGTTGAAGATGACGCAACCTATCATGGTTTATAGGGATCTCCTGAACACCATTACCCAGAGTAGCATCATTGACATTCAAACTTTTCAACATGCTACAATCTGATAAGGCATGGAAAAAAGGATCCCCTAGTAGTCCTCTTCCCAAAGTTAAAACCTCAAGATTTCTGAGAAGAATTAAGAGATTAGCATGACATTATGTAGTTAGAATAACAACAGAGAAAAGAGCCACGAGTACCTTAAAGAAGAGACAGCTTTCATAACAAGCAAGTGAATATTGGGAGTACCATAAATATTCACTTCAGTAGCATTTGGGTATCGCCGGCACATGTCTTCAACTGAAGATCCAAATTACAAGACCAAATTAATTTCTAAGTTATTGTTTGAAAACATGAAAGAGATAATAAGTGTAACCTGCTCCTTAAGGGGTAATCTGATCACTTAGACTAGCAGCCATGAGTCATGACAATGAAAATGGTTAAGATACATCTTCTCATAAAGATATTGTCACAAAGTAAGACTATCATAGGCTTTATGCAGCACAATTCATTCCAGAGTTATGGACACCCACGCAACTTAAATACACCTAATATTGCCAACGCATATGCAATCATATTAATTTGCTACTTGAAACATAATTCATGTCATATCCTACATTTTCAAGATTATTCCCTCATGTATATTCTATAATAGAATATCCAAATCCTGCAACATATATTTTTATTAAAATTTTTATTCCTTACTGTTGACTAAAATTGTGAAATGTTACAACCTAGCCAAACAGTAGTATGCAACAAATACCACTCACATTGTTCTACAGACACGCTTCGATTCTCAAAATTCAAGAACCTCCAGAAATCTTCATGAGCACTTGCTGCTCGCCACTGCCTACAAACCATTGCAGCTCGACAAAGATTATTGTGGTCCAAGAAAGAAAATACCTGGTAGAAAAAAACAAGGATATTACACATATGGAAGCAAGCAACTATAATAAATGCAAGAAGAAGATATTAAAGCATTTTACCATATGCAATAAATCATCCGTAAGATCCATCCGAACTTCTAGATCCTCTGTCTTAGAAGTACCACTGTCATCTCCATCATCTCTCCCACCACCAGAATCGCAGAGATTCTCATCACTGCTGTTATTCCACATGAAATTATGATAAAAAATTTCATTCTTTGACAGAATAGAAGAGCTTTGAATTAAACTAAAATCTCTATCAGCTGATGAATTAGAATTGCCAGCATCTGAAGAAGTAGCCATTCCATAATGACAAGCACTGGAGATAAAAAAGGAGTTCCAATTATTAGGATCAACAACCATCAAAACTATGAAACAATTCCCTGGTTAATGAATCCCTTAATCCTAATAATGTTACATGGACAAGCAGGTGACACTTTCAAGTTGCTTCAAGTTTGACATCAAAATGAGAATGCTGTTGATGGAGTTTTTTGGTGATAGATAAAAGATCCAGGCATCCACAAAGCAATGGAAAACAGGTACGGAATAAACAATGCTACGAGTTAATCTCTATATAACAATTGCAAATTTTCTAACACAAGATAATTCTGCCAGATAGGCCAAAACACAATGATAGAATTCTCCAACATGGTAACAACTTGCAGATTCCCCTATAATTTGAGTATGAAAAGAACAATAATTGTCATCATAAATTTATATCCACGTATTAGTCAATCTCAAGGAAAAAAAAAATTAAGAACAACAATTTCAGGGCAGATGCCAAAATTTCATGCAGCAATCAGCAAAGAAGTATCAAATACTAAACTTTCATTGAAGCTTCCATTTGATGTATGATCTCACAGAATATCATATGTCCTCTGAGAAAACGAATAATACACCGCAATGCAACACATTTTCATACTAACCTACTAAAAAACCGGGACTTCAAAACCAAAAAGAATAAAGAGACTTACTCAGAACCGGAGTAAACTTTGGCCCGCTTATTATGCATGTCCCGATCACAATCCTCACTACCACTCCCTGTCACAGGCGCCGCAGATGCTGCCGTGGAACTGCTACTCTCTCCCTGGGCCCGCCAGGAGCAACGAACCCCAGTCTTTCTCGACGCAAGTGGAGTAACCACGTGTACGACATCATCTAAAGCGGGTGCTCCCTCGTCCCAATTGGTAGCACCACCACCACGCATCGCTCTAATCATCTCCTCAAACAACCTCAACGGGTCCTGATCATCACGCTCCCGCCTAGTATCAGTCAATGCAAGCGCTAATCTCGTAGCCGCAGCCTCTTCCGCTTCCTCCGTGTTATTCCCAATGTTGCTCTCAGGATTGCTGTCATTCTCGAAAACGCCCTCTCTCATGGCTTTATTCTGCACGTTATTAGCCTTCAAAGGTTCCTCTTCGTCTTCGAAAGTGAAGCATAGACAGCACCAAATCTTCATGCAATTGAAGGTAAAGGCAGTACCTTTACGAACCCTAGGTCACGATCCACATCAAAATTACTTTAAAAGGCCTAAATTTAAGTGAAATTGAAGACGAACTTGGCCGCCGGACAACGGAATCGGGGTTGAATTTTGCGCTTTTAGGGCACGAGGAAGAAAGAATCGGCCGGTATGGACATGCATAAACATAGAAATGGCAGAGAGAGGGTTTAGAGAGAGAAAGAGAGGAAATGAGGATTTGAACGGATCTGATCGGATCTTGAGGTTGTGAGGATGTTTTTATTTTTGTTAAAAGGCTTCAAAGAAAAAACATAAAAATAAAAATAAAAATAAAAAGATAGAGAGAAATAGATCGGCGCTAATGGTGAATTTAATCGCTGAATTCGTACTTATATATTGGAATATGAAAAATCTTTTTCAAATTTCAGTCTCTAATCTACATTGATTAAAGACTAGACGACGACGTTTAATGACTTTCACCAAATCTTTTCCTCCCAAAATCATCCTAACGGGAATTATACGGATTTTTCTGCTTTTAATTTGCGCCCGCGTGTCCCGAGAGTTTTCTTTATTCAAGTGGATGGATTCTTTACATCATAAACATAAAAAATAAATATTAAAACTTCATTAATGATATTTTAAAATCTTTTTAAAAAATTAATTTTATCAAACAAATCTAACATTTTTCTTTTGGTTAAATAAGCTTCTTTTGATTGCTCTTATGAAGTAATAGAAAAATAAGGAGAATCAGAATATAGAGAATACAAAGAGGATAGAGATAAAAAATATGATAGGGTAATTTTTATTTATTCCTTTTTTGTTTTATAAGAAGTCACATACATGGATAAGTATACATTAATTAGTTTTTTTTTAAAAAAAAAAAAAAACCTCTACACATAGGTATTGATTTAATGAATGTTTAGTTCAGAAAAAATAATTATTTTTTCTTGTCGTAAAAAGAGTATTTTTGCCGTTTATGAATTGGCTTAATGTAGACAAATCTTATCCTCAGTAACAGAAAGTTCGATCAACATAAAAAGCCTATATTACAATATCATCTAAAAAAACAAAATCTTTTAAGAGTTTTTATTTGGATCTGATACGAGCATAAACATATATAGTATAAAACCAGGTTTTAACTAAGTACCATTTGGACGTGAATATAAATGTAAAATTATAAACACACCATAGACATAATCATTTATGATAAACTTGTAAGTATATATATATATATATATAAATTTGCAGAAAATGGGTTGGCAAATTCTTGATCTCAAAGTAATTTTAGTGTGTTCTCCTCATTATTTATGTCATCAAATAGAGCAACAATAAAGAAAAGAAAGAAGGTTAAAAGGGACCCTTCCCTCAGATGTTTACCCTTCCCTAATTGTACCTTAATGGATAGTTGGAAGCAAGAGAAGCCAGCACCGCTGGATCATAATAATTTTGTTGGGCTTTATACAGAAATTAAATGGTGGAGAAGAACAAACAAAGGTCTTCTCTTCTCTATCACCACCACACATGCTCCCATGAGGCGACACACCATTTTTACTACTTGCAGTTTTTAGGGTTTTCATTTCTTTTCGTTGTCTCTAACTGAAATGCCTTTGCTTCCCCATAAATAACAACCTTTTGACTACTTGACAAATCTCTTTTACTCTCTATAGCTAGTTTCAGGCTTTTCAATTATTTTTAAATTTGGAAATATTATTTTTGGAAGAATTATTATTTTCTCTCTTTATTATATAACAATGTATGCTATAATTTATTGATAAATTATAGTCTGATTGATCTCGTCCCTTTTTATAAGAACAATAGAAATGAAAATTTTCATTTCAGATGAAAGCTCATTTTACTATAAGAGTTTTTTAGTAATTTATTGACTATTATTTAAAGGGAGGACTTCACACACACACACATATATATAATGTAATATATTTCAAATAATTCTTTATATAACCTATCGGATCATGACTGTATCTATAATTCTGATATTAAAATTCGATATAGATGAAATTAAAATAATAATTGTCTTTATTGTTTGTTTAGTCTAACTTTTTCTTCTTTTTTTCCCCTTTTAGTCCTTTTATTTTTTTTTTAAATTTGTAGGATCCTTTTTTTTTTTTTCTGAGAATAATTTGTAGGATCTTTTTTTTTTTTAGAAGAATTTGTGGGATCCTTTAGTCTAAGTTCAAAGGATTAATGAATAAAATGGCATTCTGGCTTCCTAATCAATTCAACTAATTTATTTTAGAAAAGGGAAATAAAATTAATTATTTTAACCCCTTGTGTCTCTTGATAAGTGAAAGAATATAAAGTTACTTCATTTTCAATCTTCCTTACTATAGTTCTTTTCTTCCCTACAATTTTAGAAGGATTTTCCTTTTATTTTATTTTCAATTTCTAATAAGAAAATATCAAAAATTTCCATTATTTTCCTCCATTTATGCATTTTTTTTTTCTCTAGGTTAATTATCATTCATAATTTCACCAAAAGAACAGTGAAGAATCATAACAATTTGCAAGAGATGCTCCTCAATATATAAACAACAAAATAATGAAAGTGATATTACATTATATGCTAACTATTCATCGACCGAGTGTCTGTCTCGAACCAGTAATCCATTGTTTTTCAGATTTTTTGTTTTTTTTTAAAAAAAAAAATTTAATAGAGCAGCCATAACTTACAGTACAGAAGGAAGACACAAACAGTTCTCCATGCACAATTGTTAGGTGGCAACTAGGATAATCCGTACTTAATTGTTTTTGTCTTTAGCATTATTTAGAATGATCTTTAACGGGTAGTGGGATACAGACGCTAAAACAAAGGTCATCAAATTGGCTTTCCTTAATTTGTGTTTTTAATGCTAATTAAGAATGATTAATTAGCCCCTTTCAAAAAAAAGAATGATTAATTAGCCATTATCTAAAAAGTTAAAGAAGAAGAAGAAGAAGAAGGAGAAGAAAGCCACTGATGTATTAAGCTTCCCAATGTGGCAGCAAGTGGGTCCCATAGAAACCCCCGGAATCAAACGGTCATGAAAAGGTGTTGGAAAAGCTCAGGTGGTCTATCAAGGGTTGACAATGCAATCACCCCAAAATGGCCGACCATTGACTATTTATATTCACACAACACATATTAAGTTTGCAAAAACCATTATTTATAGTGTGCCACCAAACAGAATACCTTACGTTATATCGTTGATTTGATACAATACATTAGTCCTTAGTGGATTCCATGCATCTGAGCATCTCCAAATACCTCCATTTCCCCTCTTCTTTTCTGTAGGGTTTGGGCTTTTTGGTTAAAAATTGGGCTTGAGTCCACCAATAGTCCAAAACTAAGCTGAGTACACTTAACTAATAGCCCATCGTGTGGGCTTCCTGCTGAAATTCGCAGTGCCAAAAATGAGAGGAACCTCTTTCAGAAAGTTTTTTTTTTTTTTTTTTCTTTGAAATAGAAATTTATTAAAAAGATAGTATCAGGAAAAACTTTGCATTACAAGACTACTAACTTCAACCAATAGCCGACCCCATAAGCCAATCTAAAGTTTGTAATACTAGGTGAAAAAAAGCTGGTTGGGCATTCAATGCCAAAGCAAAACGTCACAATATTAAATTAAATCAAACTTCTAACGACAAATGACAGCTTTCGTTTTGTTCTTGGTGGTTCATGCTTGCTTTCCATGAGGTTTCTCTCCAATCTCACGCCGTGACGTCTGGGAGAAACGGCATGTAATCTTATATTCCCAATTCCGTCGTTTTCATTGGTTAGAAAATTCGCAAGTCGATAACTTCGGCATGTAATTTTATACTCCAAACAATGCGGAGAGAACCTCACCCAATACTCCTCGTAAACATATATGTTGTAGTTACCCAATTTCTGTTTTCTATCAACAGAACAAAATTTTCTCGAGAAAGTGATGGAATCATATGTTTCCAGAATACATTTAAACTACTCTGCTGCTCAAGTTGGTTTGTCAACTAGCTTCGGGCCAAGCACAATATCTTATGGAATTTGATAAACAGAAAAATCAAATTGCCAGAGACAAATTGGGCCGTAAATAAGCCAGACACGTCAAATGTTCAAGGCTTCCACCGGCCCGATTTGGCTCTTTTTATAAATGTTTTAATTTCATCTGCAAGCCCATCACAGCTTATTATAGTTAATTGTAATAATAATTAGACAACAATAATAATAATAAAAAAAAAGCATTTCTAAGTAAGATACGCTAATCAAGTAGTTCATTAAATCTACGGTTAGTTCATATACGATAAAGTAGTTGCACCAACACTTTAATTAGATTACCAACTTAATATTTTAGTTCTTTATACATTAACTTTGTTCTTCGATTGATTAATTACATTTCTGACTAATTAAACTAAAACATAAACCATTATGAATTGGGCAACTAAAAAGTCAAAAAACACTATTTTTATTATTTATAATATTCAGTAACATAGAATTTACAAGAATATTTAGAATTTGAGGGAGCAGATTATGAAACGTTACTCCTTTTACCATTTAATGAAACACTAATTAAATAATTGACAGCTATTAAAATAGTTAATTTTATTCGAGTGTTTGCTTCAATTTGTAGTACAAGAATTAATAGTTAGGTTGGGGAGGGGTCAGGCACATGTTGGGTTAACTATCTAAGCTAGCTAGCTAGCTAGGTATTGAAAGCAAAATTGAGTATTGAATTTTCAAAACGAAAACAATGGATTGGGTTTGTGTGGGTGTGGACAAAGTTGAAGCTTTTGAAACTTTTGCTATGTTTATAATTTTATATAATATAATTATAAGATCTTGAAGATGAGATATATAATTATAAATCATGGCTCCAACTGTAAAGCTCACTGGCCAAGACTAACTTTTTGTAATTATACTAAACTATATTATATATGTAGTTGCCTAAATTAGATTTTCAAGACAAGATTGCCCCTTTGAAAAATAATTAATTGAAAGATTAAGTTTTTAGGAATAAAATGCCAAATGAATGCTTCTAAACCATAGCCAATTTTGATTCTTGTGAAATCTAATGTAGCATATAAAATTTATATATATGCTTTTTAGATTAATTTTATATGCTTCCCATAAAGTGGAAATAATTCACATGGCAAAAAGTATATTCTGTGCATGCCAAAAAATATATCTTTATGTTCCTTTTAAGAAGAAAATAAGGAATTCAAAGGAGGGAGAGACCTAATGTTTGTCTTCTTTTTGGGTCATGCATCAAATCCGTCAAACGAAATCTAATCCGTACTTACATTTATATAACCAAGGTTTTCTTTTTCTTTCTTTTTTTTTTTTTTGAGATTATGGTTAATAATTAAATCAAAAAAAAAATTAATACCCATAAAAATATTTTAAATGGTAAATTATATTGAATTATTTAGGTTCAACCAACAATCTCTGTAAAATGAAAAATTTAAAATATATTTAATAAGAAGGACGACCACAAACTTTATAATTCCTTCAAGTAAAAGATAAGATTTTTAAAGGAGTGTTAAAATTTAACCAAAAAAAAAAAAAAAAAATTGGTGTGAAAGTGAAAAATATATTTACCTTAACTTAAGTATAGTAAATTAGTAGTAGTAGGAGTAATATGTAAAGACGTCGGTGCATGACACGTTTACCAAAGAACGTATAAGACAGTTTGCATGGGATTAACACGAGCATTGATTGGGTGGTGCATATTACAAGAAATCATGATCTTATAATTGCCTTCCAAAGTTTACTGTGGGGCCATCTTATTTAATCTTTTCTCTTCTTTTTATAAGAAAGAGCAACCAACCAACCACCCAACCAACACAACAACTAGTAACCTAGCAGTAGTAGTATATTTTTGATTTAATCTGCATGAAAAGTGAAAACTTTTTCAAGAAAAGAGATTCTCATGACCTAATTTCCAATCCAATTTTGACCATCAACAACTAATGTAATTGCAACTTGCACCAACATTCAAATCCTACAATTAAAAACATACATTTCTATGTTTTCTATTATTATCAAAATCGGAAAAATTTAACAAGTTTCGAAATCTAAAATCAACAGATTCTAAATATTTCCCGGTAATCAGGAAATTTAATTATCTTAGAATGAGACACTTATTAATTTGGATGGTCTAGACACATTAAAAGTGATTGGATTACAGCCTATAAGCAAGTAGTTGCAATGAGAGCATGATAAGGACAGAAGCCCATTTTAGCCTTTATAGCCTTTATTAATTGTCTTTTATAAATATATATATATATGTCTGTAGGACATGATAGTTAAGTTTGTGACAATGATCATGGCCGCATTATTGACCCAAATACTCCAATTTTGTCAAATCAATTATTTTCTTTCTTTTTTCTTCTTCTTTTTTTTTTTTTTTTTTTTTTTTTTTTTTTTTTTTTTTTTTTTTTCCAATTTTTTAAAACACAAGAAGTGAAATTGCGCAAGGCATGTCTTTGAACATTGTTTCAACTTTTATTGTTTGGCTTCTTTTTGCCAGAAAGGCACTTATAAAATATTAGTATAAAACCAACCACATTTTGAAGGGAAATAAAAAGAAAAAGAAAAGACCCAATTTAATTTTTTTTTTTTTTTTTTTTTTTTTTTTTTTTTTTTCCTTTAAAACACAAGAAGTGAAATGCAAGCATGTCTTTTGAACATTGTTTCAACTTTTAGTTGTTGGCTTCTTTTTCCAGAAAGGATATAAAATATTAGTATAAACCAACCACATTTGAAGGAAATAAAAAGAAAAGAAAAGACCAATTAATTTCTTTTTTCTTGAAAATAATAGTATTCCTTTACATTGCTTCAATTTATATTGTTTGTCATCAACTAATTGTAAAGGTACTAGGATTATTACAATTGACAGACCCTCTTAAAAATTTTCTGCCCTGGGGCAAGAACAGCCATTGGATCAAAACTTTTCTTCCTGTCAACAAATGTCGACCATTGATTTCCAAAGTGTCGTTCCCAATCTTCTTGGGATTGGTAATGAGGGAGATATAATTTGAAATCAAATCCCTTCTTAATGCATAATTGGACAATTTCTTGATTTTGACATACCAATTTCTTAACACTCGGAACTTTTGGGTATGGAGGAGTGAATCGGAGCAATGCCACTAAGTAAAAAATTTCCCCTTCAGACGGTATCATTACAGACGTCCGATTATCCAATCTGATACACAAAATGAAACATCAAGTTAATAAGACAGGTAATCCACTATTAACATTGACTCACACACAATTATTCTCTTATCTATAGCTAACGGACATTGGATTCCAAGGGAAATTTTGAAAAAGATCGTATGGGAAGGATGGGTTGGGGGTAATATGTGCCTGAGCAATTGAACTGAAACCATGTGTCGCATGTCGAGAACTTGGGAGAAATGCCAGACTACATCATATCTTCTTGAAACGAACTTGAACCATAAACTTTTAACTTTCTTTTTAACATCTTATCGATAAAGACACTATTTCTCACATACTTTTTATTTCAACACACTATTATATTAACAACATCAAAAGCCAAAGATTATCCGATACAACGAAACCCTTCTTTTTAAAGATTTCTAAGCTTTTTTTTCCTACTCTTTCAGGCTAAGTTCCCAACACCTCGTAGTTGGCTTTGGACTCTAGACGAATTTGACCCTTAACTTGTTACATTGTGCCAGTTGGAAGGGTAATTTCGCCACCCAATTTTTTTTCTTTTTATGTAAAAACAAAAACTCCCTTATTGGAGCCCAGACAAATTATGGTGTCATTGTAAGCTTGGCTGGCCAATAAATCTCCTTGTCGTTTCTCGAACGGCAAGACTTTATTATGGCCGAAATACCCTCACCTTGTTGCACTTGTTTAAATCACAAAAATACCCCTATGGTAATATTATTTTCTTTTTTTAAAAAATAATTCTGGCCCCACGGTATCTTTGTTCCACAAAGTGTACTATCCCTGATTCTACGTTTTGCTTATACGCTAAACTAACCAAAACTGACGCAATTTGGTGAATCTTTAACTATGCATTTTCAAATATAAAAAAATTTATGGTTTTGATCTATTGCTGCAGGGTGCATAGAAGGCGCAATGGTGGTAGGACCCATTTCTCCGGTAGAATTGGTTTTACCTACCATAAGATCTTAACCGCCCCATTTTTTACGTCTAGCAAATGAAATGCTAAGAAACTAGGAAATGGCTCAGATGTCGTGACAAGTGTTCGTGGGTCCTGCTTATGGCTTTCTGTATCTCGACACGTGTAAGAAGGAGAGGCTGTTATTCAAACCTCGTCACTTTCACAGAAACCTGAGAGCCTATTTAGCTTACACGTGGATGGCATGCGGGGAACAATAATAACAAACTGAAGTTATGACGGTGGGGTCCAATTTGAAAAGAAACACTTACTTGCTTCGCAGCAGTGGGTAGACCAGCATGGGCCCACCGACGCCTTCCTTCAACATGTTCTTGAAAATCATACGATCAAAATCAGCAATGTCTCGCTTTGACACGAACAGATTCAACCAAGGGTGAGGAGAGTCCCATATCCCATTGGCCCTCGCGTGTTCCTCTACGCGCTTCACACGCAATAAAAAATCCACGTAGTTGACGTCCACTTGGAACTGCAAATCCTCGACAAATCGTAGCCGTCCAAGCAAGCTGTTTACAACCTGCACGAATAGAAACCTAGTTAATCGTGGGCATTTACGTCATTTGGAAGGCTTAAAGAGACATAATCTACAGATGCCAGAAAATGATGGCTTTTTGGCCATTTGTGGAATTGCGGGGACCAAAATGTCAGGAAAATCTCAATGATCAGCACTTAAACATCTCCTTCTTTCCTGTAATATTACTATTTTATCCCTAGAAACCATCCAGATTACGGAAGTGGCCGAACTTGAAATTACACTTAGACGAATCAAAGTACAGTGTCATTCTCGTAATTATCCAGTGATTGAACTCTCATCTGTATGCTGTGTTAGAAAATCCAGTGCGAGATATAGCGTTACCGTATAGTCAGTTTCAGATTTTTTTTTTCTTAAAAAAAAAAAAACCATTTTTCGCTGTTTTTTTGGCCATACAGGTTAGTCCTGGAGAGTAAACAGTGAAATACATTGCCGCTGTGATGATAGAGGATGAGAATGAGCCGCCCTCCATCGATCATTATCCTACACGTGTAAGTAATTTTTTTATTTTGACTTTTTCACTGACCGTCCGGCGAGACTATTTTGATTGTGGGACCCACAAATTATTATGGTCAAAACGTTTAGGTGGGTCCCAGTTAGCAACCTACTAGGTCAAAACTCAGTCATCACTGGACACATTGGCATGGGCCCACAGTTTAAATGGTGTACTGTTTGTTTTTTTTGCTATTTACGTCCGTAGGCTTAGGGGGTTGTACCCAGCCTAAATCAACGAATGCTGCACTGGATTGCAAATCGGTTATTGTGAGACAGAATGCAGGAGATCATCGAGTAAATTGAAATAATGGGTCTGGTGAGCTTAGTTACCGTGTCAACCGTAGAGGTGTGCTCATTATTTTGGTAGTGTAGAGCCACTTCAAGGCAGTAAAGAACAGGCCCAGCTGTCCGAGGAATAGCGGTCCGGTCGAACCCATGGTCTGGGTCCAATGGCACTGAAGGCCACCCATTTACAGGGTCATCACTGTTAACGAACACGAAACCTTCTACGTAATCAAAAGACTCGCCTTCGGGCCGAGTCACGAGCCACTCAGCGTCCCGGGTGAACTCTTCGAACTCGGAATACACAACCCTTATCCATCTCACCTAATCACCATAACAAATAATTTAATTAATAAACAAAAAAAGAACAAACTTGTATAAGCAAACCATAATTACGTAGCGTGAGCGTGTCATTCATGCACTAAAAACGTACACCAAAATTTCTGATAAAGCAATAGACAGGTGAGAGACGGAAAAAAAAAAGACTGGTGACTAGATTTTGCAAAATCAATTAAAAAATTGAAAGAGAGATAATAAAGAAATGCCCACCATGTCCGGTGCTGACTGTAACTTGACTCTAGCTCTGGTGATGATGCCAAACTGACCGAGACCGCCTAAGGCTCCAAAGAACAGTTCAGAATTTTCTGTTTCGGAGCAAGTTAATATATCGCCTTTTCCCGTCACGACATCTAACTCCGTCACGTTTGACGTCTGTGGTCCGTAAATGAAGGCTTGGCCACTAACGCCGGCGTTTGATAACGTCCCGCCAACGGTTAACCCCAGATAATCAGTCCACGACCTTGGAGCTAAATTGAACGTTGAAACGCATCGTTTTAGCACATCTTCCCATAATGCCCCTCCGGAAACATCAAGCAAGATTTCGCCATTGATTCTCAATATATTGAAGTGGTTTCCTTCGGTGGAGCGCATGTCTATGACCAGACCACGATCAGCCATGGCCTGACCGTTTATGGAGTGCCCGTTTCCTCTTGCAGCGACAGTCAGATTAGGTGACCTGTACGCTGCTTTCACTGCCCTCGCTACGTCATCGGCACCCCTAGGCCTGATTATAGCCAGGGGTTTCAAAGAATACAAGCCACCGAAATCTTTACCGGCGAAACCCGTGGCAAGGTAGTCTATGCTGCCTTGGAGGTCCAAAGACTGGAATACGTTTAGAAGGTCGTCGTCTCTTTTAGAGTCGGTGTCGTTCTCATGGATGAATGGCCCCAGGTACGCTATCATCTTCGCCGCCGAACTGAGGTTTCTTGTTTCTTGCAAGTCAAATTATCCGGTGGCCTGTTACTCTCTATCTCTCTCTCTCTCTCTCTCTCTCTCTATTGAGCTATTTCTTGTATTTTTGAGCTTCACTTTGTAGTTTATAGGCTTAAATAGCCGCTGATTTGGATCATTTAAAAGAAGTTAATTATTTTTTATTAAGCTAAGCATTATTAATTATTTGACGTCACCCTAAAACTTCAGTATCCTGTTGACATTGTGATCCTATCGACATCCTCTGTCTGCCACTTAAACTAGTATATTTATAATTTATTTTTATTTTTTAATTTCTCTTTTTTTAGAGAAAATTTAAACAAAAAAAAAAAAAAAAAATTAAAAGAAGTTAATTATTTTTTATTAAGCCTAAGCATTGATTCAATTATTTGACCGTCACCCTAAAACTCTTCAGTATTCCTGTTGACATTGCTTTGATCTATCGACATCCTCTCGTCTGCCACTAACTAGTTATATTTATAATTTATTTTTACTTTTTAATTTCTCTTTTTTAGAAAAATTCTAAACAAAAAAAAAAAAAAAAAAAAACACTCACACACTTGTTACAAAAAAAAAAAAAAAAAAAAAAACACTCACACACTTGTACATTTCATTATAATTTTAAGGTTTGTGGATTCAATTATTCCATTAATCTTAGTAAATCCTTTTTTTACATTCTTAGTAACTTCAAAAAATAAATTATATACAGTAGTTTTAATATAAAATATTAATTATATATAATTATTTGAATTATCATTTTCAAAATTATGAAATTTACAGTCAAAAGTTAAATGTTATCATATATTAATAATTCAATTAAATAAATTTGATTATTAAGAAATACTTTTGAATAATTGTTGTGAATTGGACCTGAGCACTACTCAGTTGATTATAGTTCAAAAGGCACTCACTTATTGAGCAACATTTGTTGTGTTTTTTTTTTTTTTTTTCAAATTCTAATCCTTCTTGATGTGGTCCATACATGAATCTTAATTATAACCTTATCAAAAAATTCTTTTCCATTTTAATTCATTATTCTCTCTCCATATATTTTTCTGTATTTACTTAGAAATAAAATTTCAATAATTGAACCAACAAACCGTTGACTCTTTAAATAAATTTATAAAATTAAAAATTCGAAAGGGTTAAAATAGAAATTGAAAATGCATTTAGTGTAAAAATAAATTACAATATAATTAACATGTACCTTTTTTTTTATGCAACTATTACTTTATACAAAACATAAAATTGTCAACAAAATACTACGTTTTTATGTTGTCGTCTTCAATCATATGTACACTTGTTACCCTCTCCAAATAAAATTTGTGTAGTGTGCCAAATTAATATAGCCAATAAATAATAAAAAATAAGTTGGTCAAAATGACTGCTATTGGACCAATATCCTAACAATAAAATTGAATGTTTGTCTAATTGTCTTATAACGCACGGGTCAAATATTTAAATCTTAATCATATTATTCCTAAGTCAAAAAAAAAAAAAAAAAAAAAAACTTAATCAATATTCTATCTCCTAAGTCACAAAAAAAAAAAAACAAAAAAACAAAACAATAAAAAAAAAAAAAAAAAAAAAAACAATATACTAATTTTCAGTCAACAACATATATATATAGTATTTGCTCTTAAATTATTTTCATTTCATTTCATAAATTGTAAGTCAAAAATAATTAATGACCTCTAAATATTATTTTTTTTTAAAAAGGTCAATGAGTGGCCCTGCCCCTTCCTAATTGAACTTAAACGAAAGATATAAAGGATATAATCAGTTTATATATAATTTATTATAGAATTAGAATAAAGTATTACCGACATTTAATTAAAAATATCAAGTTATCCTAAGAAAATTGGATGAGATGATGAATTCAACCATAGGAATTATTAGATATTAACAAATAAAAAATTATATAAAATTAAAATATATCGCTACTGGGATTTTCGGACCCAATTGTTACAATCCTTAATTATAATCGGTATTTTTTTTTATCTGATTGAATAATATGTATTTACATACAATATTTAATTGTTGCATTATAATTAAGAATTTATGATTTTAGGTTATTTTCGATTTATTTAAACTATTTTAAAATAAAAATAATGAGTTTATTTAAACCTCATTTTAAAATAAAAATAATAGTTTATATATATATACTATATATATAATATACTATATATCATATTGCCGTCCGGAGGTTGCGTGCCGAATTATCTCCCACATTAAAATGCCTGATTAACGTTGTTTTGTATTCAGGTTGACTTGGAATTCTAAGCATATTACTTATATATATATATATATAAATATCTAAAAAAAAGAATATATATAAATATTAAAAAGAAATGAACTTGAATATTTCTTTGCACTGCCCCATTACTTTATTATTAATTAATTCATTGGGTGTCAATTTGTTAGGGCAATGATCACTTTGAAATAAATATTTCATATAGAAACTAAAAACAATAATATAATAAAAGGAATGAGGAAATTAAGGAATAAATAATATTCTTATATACTGGTCAATGATTAAAAATTTAGTATTACAACTGTTGGAAGAACTTTATCTGAATATCATAAACGTGAAAATACCTTAAGAAACAAAATAAAAAAATTATTATACACAAAACATATACTATTAACGCTAATTTAATTAATACAAAATAGGAGAGAAATTGTAGCATCCATAAAGATTCTTCTAGTTGGTTTTTTTTTTTTTTTTTTTTTTTTTTTTTTTTTTTTTTTTTTTTTTTTTTCAGTTTGAAATTCTTATACATGTTTTAAATACATTGTTTTTTTTTTTTTTTTTTTTTTTTTTTTTTTTTTTTTTCAGTTTTGAATTCTTTATACATTGTTTATACATTGATTAATCAACTACTAATATCTGTGAGAATTATTGATTTATTTTATGGTGAAGCTATACAAGTCAAAAGCAAGTGTAAGTCAACGAATTTTAAGCGGCATAATGGAACGCTTGAACTACTAATTTAGAGTAGACTAATTAGAGCAAAATTAAATTAATTAATAAAGTCAATTAATCAAGATTAAATTCATGAAACTGCTTCAGAATTAGGTTTCAAGTTCAACTAATTAAGTTTTTGGACATTTTAATTAAAATGAATAAAAAGGGTCAATTAATATATATAATGTGGCCATATGTTTTCTCTAAAATGTTGTTAAATGCTATGGTCAATCTATGTATAGCCGGCCAGAAGTCTCTATATTTCAGGTATAATTTGATTTTTATTTTGGGTTTTTAATGGCCAAAGCCTCAATTATACTTGGCTAATCATATTATTTATTATGTGTATGCACGTTTAGGAGAGAAATGACAAATAATTAACAAGTAATAGTTTTAATTAAGAGGTTTTGACAATTAATATTGTGGATTTTTAATTTGTAATTTATGAAATTTCTTTCCTTTTTTTTTTAGAAAAAGAACAATTTATTGTAGTCAAATTATATATTTAATGGTTTTCCACAATTTATTACATATATTGAAAGGGTTTTATTATTATATATGTATCAAAGTCAAATTACAGATATTTATACGTAAGAATATAAAAATTGAACTCAGAATGTACTATCAATGAAAATAGTTCAAGCAAATTTTATCTGTAAGTTAAGAATTAACTAGATTGCTGTTGTTAAAAGGTTTTTGTCTGAATAGTATGGAGATACATATAATAACGAGTAGTCAAAATAAGTTCAGATATACCGGACAGCTGGTTGGCTAGAGTTAAATTAGTTTAGTAAGTTATGTTTTTTTTTTTTTTTAATCCGATTAATATCATAAAATAAATTTATTTTACAGATTAAAAAAAAACTAATAAGCAAAATTCAAATTGTAAGTTTTTGAGGGTATTCTTGATCATTAAATTGGTAATTATCTTTGAAGATTTTACTGGTAAAAATAACAGCGGGAATGTGGAGATTAAAATTGTGAGTGTAATAAATAGAAATGGATATTTGATAGTTTCAATATGTATGTAAAGAAGATAAGCAAATCTCCGAATCCAAACGGCCATTGGTACAGCATTTATACTTTATGATATTAACACCCAACTTTGTATTTATGGCTACAACTATATAGATATTAGGATATCAGAATCCGAGGCTCATTTCACTGCACCTAATTCAATATCCCAAAATCACTATTTCTTCCTATTCAATACATATACTGAAAATTAAATTTTTATAAACAATAATTAATCCCAAAACGGTAATTTTTGTTAAATTAATTTTTTATACTGTTTGAATATGAATATAGTTTTTTAAATAGTGATAAAGACACTAGCAATGACAATGTCCTTTGACATTAGAGGTAAAATTGTAAAAAGTGTAGTTTATTTTTGCTAATATAACCGTTCTTCTGTAGAACTAATTATTATTTTTAACAGTGATTGAAATAATGATTTTAGAAAAAAAAAAAAAAATTCATAATAAAAGACAAGGAAAGGACTGCATCGTCATTTTAGAATTGACGATTGGAGGCTTGGATTTATTGGAGTTGGGTGGAGATGGGACCATGGAACCAAAGGGAAAGGTTTCTTCTAGAAGAAAATCATTAGTTTGATTCTGAAATTACATAATAACATTTTGTTACAGTGAGTTTCCTAAATTCATCCATCCATCATGTGACTTTGTCTATTCTCTTCCTATGTTCAGAGCACACCATATCTTCTCTCTTTAAAATTTGCTTTTGCTATTTAAGTAATACAAAATTTAATTTTAATAAATCATTACCTTATGCTTAGGTTAAATATTATTGTATGTTAAAAAAATGTCACATTTATTCCAACAACATTGAATTTTACTATGTTTTGAACATAGTTTTTAATCAATGAATAGTCATAGTAACTTAAAATAATATTTAAATATAACCGGGATTTGATTGAGACTTGTTCAAAGGCGGGAATATTTAAGTAAAAAATTTAATCACTCTATTTATTCAATTTTATGATTTTAATTTTCCCAAGTCCAAATTATTGTATATTATTTATATTTGTATATATTGTATTGTTCAAAATCTGATTTTGGTGATGCAACAGAAATCATTTTGATAGTGAGGTTATATATTG